CTGAGAGCAGCAGCAGAGGCCAGGTATTCACCTGGGCGTGACTCACCCCTGCTAGAGCATGCACACACCCCGGGCCCGACACAGTAAGCAGCACGCCGGGGGTGCCTGTGAGGTACCCATAGGCTGCTGCTGCGTAGCCTGCTGCTTGCTCATTGCGGAAGGAGAGGAAGCGGATGCCTTGCTGCTGCGCTGCTGTGGCAACGGCGGTGACGGGAATGCCGATGACGCCGAATAGGTGGGTGACGCCAAGACGAGCGAGAGAGAGGGCGATGAGGGAAGGGGCGTCTAGGGTAGCAGACGGGGAGGGGGAAGGGGCTGCTGGGGGTTGTAAATGGAAGGGAAGGGGGACGGGGTGGGGTAACAGGGGGACAGGGAGCAGGAGGATGAGGGAGGGAGGTGTACTGTGAAGGGGGAGCGGGTGGATAGAATGAGTTGTGGAGGAAGCACAGGGAAGATCAGGGGAGATGGTAAGGGCGGCATGGGATGAGAGGAGAGGAGAGGAGAGATGAGGGGAGGGATGGGACACGGTGAAAGAACAAGAGGTCTCAACTTGGACCTGAGCCTGTCAACAAGATCAAGTTCAAGAAACACCCAAAACACCTGACTAGGATAGACGGCATGTTTGCATGTCACATCAGCGAACAATTCACGAACTATCTTTTGCACAAACAAACCCATCGTTTCGTTGTCACACATCAGTGTTCAGCGTCACACTCCTCCACGCTACCCCTGCCTTTCCACACCCCCCCCTCCCCCCCCCCCCCCTTTCCCACTATTAACCAGCCTCGCTAGACCCGAGCGCATAGCCTGCAACAAAGCGGCGCTAGATCGTGCCGGTGGCGGTGCGGGGCAGTTCAACCAACCAACTAGCCCTGCTAGCAACCAGCTAGATTCATGCAGTACCGGCAGCAGCAGCAGGAGCTGCAGCAGCGGCAGGGGCGGCAGCAGCGACCTCGCCACTGAGCATGGCCTGGGCCACGAAGCGGCGCTGGATCTTGCCGGTGGCGGTGCGGGGGAGATCACTTCAACCTACCCACTAGACCTGCAAACGACCAACTAGAATCAAGCAGTACCGGCAGCAGCAGCAGGAGCTGCAGCAGCGGCAGGGGCAGAAGCAGCGCCCTCGCCACTGAGCATGGCCTGGGCCACGAATCGGCGCTGGATCTTGCCGGTGGCGGTGCGGGGGAGATCACTTCAACCTACCCACTAGACCTGCAAACGACCAACTAGAATCAAGCAGTACCGGCAGCAGCAGCAGGAGCTGCAGCAGCGGCAGGGGCAGAAGCAGCGCCCTCGCCACTGAGCATGGCCTGGGCCACAAATCGGCGCTGGATCTTGCCGGTGGCGGTGCGGGGGAGATGGTCGACAAAGAAGACGCGCTTGGGCAGCTTGAAGGCCGCCAGGTGATTCTTCAGGTGCTCCTGCACCTCCTCCTGCGTCAGAGACACACCTGGCTCCAACACCACTGCTGCATTCACCTGATCGCGGGGAGAGAGGGGGAGGAGTGGGTGGAGGAACTGAGGAGGTGGGGGGAGAGGAGGGGAAGGAGTTTTAAGGGCACGGGAAGTGGGAAAATCGGGTTTTGAGGCGCCTCAAAAGTTCTACGGTGAAGGGCATGGGAAGTGAGAATAACGGGAATGAAATGTGAGGGGAGACGATAGGGAGTGAGAGAGCACGAAGGACAGGGCGAGGAGAAAATGACATCATCCTCAATCGCTCAATCTGAGTCGCTTTTGAGAATTCTCAAAAGCGAAAATGACATCATCCTTAATCGCTCACCTATCTGAGGTGCCTCAAGAATCAATTCACCCACCTCTTCCCCATAATGGGCATCAGGAGCAGAGAATGCAACAGCCTCAGCCACGCCTTTCACGGCCAGCAGCGCAGCATCCACCTCCAGAGGCGAGATCTTCTCCCCACCCCTGTTGATCAGCTCCTTGAGCCGCCCCGTCAGGTACACATACCCCTCCTCGTCCCTCTTCCCCTCGTCTCCCGTGTGAAACCAACCAAACGCAAACGCCGCCTCGTTCGCCGCCGGGTTACTGCGGTAACCAGCTGTAACGTTCGCCCCGCGAATGCACACCTCGCCACGCTCCCCCACCCCGAGCTCCTTCCCCTGCTCGTCCAAGATCGCGAGTTCGATTCCTGTCGGCAACCCAACCGAGCCAGCCTTATGGGGGCCCTTGGTAGGGAGAGGGTTGGCAGTCATTTGATGGCTTGCTTCGGTCATGGCATAGGCTTCGAGGACAGGAGCGCCGAACACTGTTTCCATTTCTTCCAGCACTGCTGCTGCCAGGCTGGCGCTGCAGCTGCGGATGAAACGCAGAGGCGGGTAGGCAGCAACAGGGGCGGAGGATTCCCCTTGAGGTTCGCCCTCAGATTTTTTAGAAAGGGTGGGTGGGCCGTGGGAGCGGTGACGGGAGAGGAGGATCTGGTGCATGGTGGGAACCGCGGTGTACCACGTGGCACCGCTCTGCACCACTTCGTCCCAGAAGGTCGATGCGGAGAATCGGCCAGAAGCAGGGAGCACCACAGAACCCCCAGAGGAGAGAGAGGCGAGCAGAGCAGCCATGAGTCCATGCACGTGGAACAGAGGCATGACTAGGTAGGTTCGGTCCGCAGGAGTGAGGTCGTATGTGCCTATGATGTTCCCTATGGATGCTGCCAGGTTGCCGTGCGTCAGCGGCACGCCTTTCGGCCGGCTGGTCGTGCCTGACGTGTGCAGGAAGAGTGCCACGTCAGCGGGGTCAGGTGTGGGCCCGGGGCCGGGACCGTCGGGGATGTCGGCGGGTGGGAGGGCGGAGAGACCTTCAGATGGGCGCAGGGGGACTCCTTCCTGCAAGAGGGGGGAAGCGGCAGAGGGGGGGAAGAAGGGGGGAAAAGGGTGTGGGCCCGGGGCCGGGACTGTCGGGGATGTCGGCGGGTGGGAGGGCAGAGAGGCCTTCCGAGGGACGCAAGGGAACTCCATCCTGGGATGGAGAGTGAGCGCGAGAGGAGGGGGGAGGATGAAGGGACGATGTGAGGAAGGGAGGTCCTTTGGACCAGGAGATATGAGGAGTTAAGGCTCTCAGACAGCAGTAGGAAAACAGTAGCGCTCTCAGAGAGGGGTGGGAAAACAGTAGCGCTCTCAGACAGCAGTGGGAAAACAGTAGCGCTCTTAGACAGCAGTGGGAAAACAGTAGCGCTCTCAGACAGCAGTGGGAAAACAGTAGCGCTCTCAGACAGCAGTGGGAAGACAGTAGCGCTCTCAGACAGCAGTGGGAAGACAGTAGCGCTTTAGCTCATCTCATCTCACCTCGCCTCCGTAGCTCCCAGCATGCGCCACCGGTACTCCCAAGGCAGCAGCGGCCGCCTGGGCCTTGGGAGTGCCGCCCTTGGGCAGCAGCAGCAGGCGCGCCTGCGCGTCCTCCATATAGAACTTGAACTCCTCCTCCGTGTACGCTGCGTTTAGCGGAGCTGCTGTTGCGCGTACACGCGTCACTGCGAGGAAAAGGATCACGAACTGGGGGAGAGAGGAAAGGGGTGTTGGAGCGAAGGAAGGGAAGGGGGGGAGAAAGGGTGGGAAGGAGGGGATGGAAGAAAGGGGGAACTTTTATGGAAGGAGATTTGCAATATCTACAGAAATGTGACAAACTGGTTATGCTGAGATCAGGAAGATCGTATTTGAGCGTCCACAATGGACTTATTGGAACGAACCTGGGACGGTCAGTGCATGCGAAGCTGTTTCGCGATAGATTACGTAATTAAAAACCGCAAGGCACAAGGATTAGGGAACTTGCGCAACGTTGTTCGAGTCTGACTTGAAATTTGGACGACGACCACTGACAGGTACCTCGAGCGAGTTAGGAAACGCGAGGGACACGAGTTCGCCGGGTCGCACTCCTAGCGCCCTTAGCTGCGCTGCCACCGCATCCACCGCCGCCTCGAGCGCGGCGTGAGTCACGGTGGGGCCTCCCTGCGTGACGATAATGGCCTCCGCGTCGCCGCGCGACTCCACGGCGGAGTGCAGCCACGCGCGGAGGGTCTGCGGCTTCGCGTCAGCCATGGCGATTCCTGATGTGGTGCCTGATTCACACGGAGGATTTCAGAATTCTTGCAACGTCTGAACAAAGGTGATGCCTGATGGTCTTGAGCTGCGGCAGTTGCAAACTAGAGTTTTAAAGCAAACAAACAACTTCAGGTTTCACTTCAAAATCCCGCAAAAGCCGATCCGTCGTGAAGCGACATACAGATGCTAGCGGCACTGGTGATACTGGGTCAAGGAAAGAAGGGAGAGAAAAAGTGAATGTGGTGAGAGAAAATGGAAATGGAAAGCTGAGGAAGATGGTCGACCAGGAATTGTCAATCTGATGAGCTTGGGGAATTCCCAAGGGAAATGGATCTGAGGGCGCGATCGCAAGTGGGGCAGCGGTGTGCAGTTTCAGCGAACATTTCCATGTTTCGCCAGCTGAATGACGCGATTCGTCTAGGGGGGTTCACTGGTGACGTGGCTCCTTTTGCACCCCCGTTTTTGACCAGTCAACAGCTAACTGGGATTTTTCCTGACGAGCCACCTGTGTCGGAACACAAGACCCTTTTTCGGAAAGTGACAAAGTGTGAGCGGGCACTATAGTCTACTATCCCAATCAAAGAGCAGCTTATATCGCAACATAGGGAATTTCACGCGTGTGTCAAGCGGCCAGTTTCCGCCATTCGACCACTCTTTCTTTCTGCTGAATCTGGCTCCTCTGGTGTGCTCTGCTGATTAGGGTTCCGTTTAGAAGATCAGAGTGTGAATTCAAGAAGAGGTTGCTGCTCACGATACCCTTCTATCATATTAGCTTCTGATCGGGTCGGACGTGATTTCGGGGCAGGACGTTGGTGATCAAATTAGAAGTGTCGACGTGTCGAACTCGAGTTGAGTTACAAAAACTGCTGCGGTTGGTTCTAGCACTTTCTCAGCAGCCGCGGTTGGTAGTTGTCCTTTTATTGACCCGAAGGCCCCCTCCCATTGTGCGCCGATGGCGGCGCACTTCGCGGTAGGCCCGCAGGAAGATGACGCCATCATACGTCAGCGGCTGCTCACTAGGACCTCCGTCACTCGCGGCGAACCGCCGATGAAAAAACTCCTAAAGAAGTTTCTCGCTTTCACGTCAGAAGCTGCGCGGCCCGACAGCAGCATAGGTGACTGCGAGAGACTAGCGCGCTCCGTGCTGCACGAACTGGCGGGATTCGAGCAGCCTCTAAACGTGTCTCGCGCCGTGATCAACGCTAATCGCCGCGAACAGGAGCACTTTCACGAGCTGACGAAACAGCTAGAAGCGGATATAATCGAGGTGCGATGATTCCTCGTCAATTCCTCCTTTCAACTCCGACCGATTCTCCCAATCCGCCCTCCTCCTCCGCATTCCTCCCCATCTCATCCCCTTCTCCCTCCCCATAGCCTCCCTCTCCTCCCCTCCCGTTCCCCTCCCACTCCCCTCCCCCCCTCCTCCCCCCGCGCGCATCAACATCAGGCGGTGGCGCGAGTGGATAGCCTCATGGCGGAGGAGGCGGAGGCGCGGCGGCAGCGGCAGCATGAGGAGGAGTGTGAGCTGGTGCGGCGGCAGATCGCCGCGCAGCCGGCGCGCGCGGTGTCGGAAGCGCGGATAGCGGCGCTGGAGGCGGAGGTGGAGGCGCTAGAGGCGGAGAACGTGGGCGCGGGGAGGGTGGTGGAGCTGCGGCGGAAGCAGTTCGCGCTGCTGCTGCACACGGTGAGTTAGTGAGGGGAAGGGGGAGCGGGGGAAGGGGGGCAGGGGGGCGCTGCTCGCGGATAGCAGCGCTGCAGCCGGAGGCGGAGGCGTTGGTGGGGGGAGAAATTGGGCGGGGGGGGCTGGTGGAGCTGCGGCGGATGCAGTTCGCGCTGCTGCTGCACACGGTGAGTGCATGGGGGAAAGGGGGAGAGGGGGAAGTTGGGGGAAGGGGGAGGGGAGGGAGCGGGGGAAAGAGAGGGCGCTGCTCGTGGATAGTGACGCTGGAGGCGGAGGTGGAGGCGGTCCTGGGGGGAAGGGTGGGTGTGGGGAAAGGGTGGTGAAGCTGCGGAGGTAGCAATTCGTGTTGCTGCCGTGCTCACTGTTTTGGAGTAAACCCCTAGTTATCATATTTTTGTGCACGTGTTTTACTGTACTCAAACAGTGTATATGCCACCTTCCATGCGCAGATGGAGGAGCTACAAGGAGCATTGGAGGAGGACCCTTCTAGAGAGCTGGCAGCAGTGGTGGCGGCAGGAGGGGGAGCAGGAGGAGGTGGGGTTCTTGTGTCTTACTGTAATCATTCTGTGTGTCTGTCACCTTCCATTCCATGCGCAGATGGAGGAGCTACAAGGAGCATTGGAGGAGGACCCTTCTAGAGAGCTGGCTGCTGTGCTGGCAGCAGGAGGAGGGGGAGGAGGAGGAGGAGGAGGAGGAGGGGTGCTGATGGGTGCTGGTAGGCCGTCTGCGGCAGCAGGGGGTGGGGGGGACAGAGCAGCAACCCCACCACCACCAACACAACTCGATGCCTCGGGTGCTTCCCCCATGACAGTTGACTCGTGACGGCCCGGCCTCACAATTGTCCCTTCACCATGCTGCGGAGAAATTGCTGATTTTCCACACCCTGGTCAAACAAGTGTCTTGTTGTTCCTGGCAGCAGCCGCTCCCGCTCCATTGCTGACGGTGCTGATGCCCACGAGCATACTTGAAAGGCTACCTATGTCCCAACACTGCCGTTTCCTAGCACCCTAGCGGCCCAGTGTCCCTGTATAGAGTGTTACCGCAACGTACAAAGCAGTCATCAGGGTGGATATAGTACACTTGTATTGTGGTTGCATGGAACAGCATGCGACGCGAGGACATAGAATACAGATGTAGCAAGGCCGTATGGTACATGTGGAACACTGTATAAAGGGTACCGGTACACCTGCTGACGATGGTTCAGGTTACAGGTGGCGTAGTCTGTGCGTGCAAGAAACTGCTCGAACAGAGGGTGCTTGAAACACCTGGAGCAGCAAGCATTGGGTCAACAGGGCGCTTCAGCCAGTGCAATGTGGTCATCGACAACAAATGAAAAAATAGATTTCAGCTAGAGCTGCTAGTGCTATGTACAGGACTGATCTGTGGGTGATATGATATGCACAGGCATCCCTGTGAGTGAGGGGCCAGGGATCATTCTCCATGCTACCGTCTCACTCCCCTCAGTCACCATCCTTGTTATCATCAGCGTCAGCATTGGCATCAGCGTCAGCAAAAGCATCACCATAACCACCAGCATCACGGTCGGCACAGGCCATGCATCCCCTCCAGCGAGGGTGATGTGGAGGAAACAGTGGGAAGCATTGACTGCGAGGGCCCGTGGGAGGATGTGTGTGTGCTTTCTTGAGGGGCGCTGGGGCTAGCTATTCTCCCTCCTGCTGCTATAGCCCCGTCTGCTTCTATAGCCCGGTCTGCTGCTATAGCTGCCGCTGCTGCCAGAGCTGCTTCTGCAGCTGTACCATCTTCAGGAGGAGCCATCTGATTGGCTGTAGGCCGACGGTGTTCTATCACTCCGTCTCGAATCAGCTTTTGCACCTCTGCTGCTGCTGCTTCTGCCGCCTCTGTGGTGGAATACCCTTCTGGCTCTGCTCCTAGCGACTGCCACAGAGAGAACACGGCACCGGCAAGAGAGGGGGGCCTGTCATTGGTTGAAGGACAGGAGCAGCAGCCCAAGGGCGTCAGGTCATGGTAAAAGCTACAGGGCATGTTCAGCAGGGAGATATGCTGTGTTGGGTGCATATGTGTGCAGCAATATGTGCGCTGCACTGTATGTGTGCTGCACTGTATGTGCGCTGCACTGTATGTGCGCTGCACTGTATGTGCGCTGCACTGTATGTGCGCTGCACTGTATGTGCGCTGCACTGTATGTGCGCTGCACTGTATGTGCGCTGCACTGTATGTGCGCTGCACTGTATGTGCGCTGCACTGTATGTGCGCTGCACTGTATGTGCGCTGCACTGTATGTGCGCTGCACTGTATGTGCGCTGCACTGTATGTGCGCTGCACTGTATGTGCGCTGCACTGTATGTGCGCTGCACTGTATGTGCGCTGCACTGTATGTGCGCTGCACTGTATGTGCGCTGCACTGTATGTGCGCTGCACTGTATGTGCGCTGCACTGTATGTGCGCTGCACTGTATGTGCGCTGCACGCACCTGAATCTGGTGGATGAGGCTGCAGAGGAAGCGGATGGTGTCGGAGAGAACAGAGACGGTGTCCACTCGACTACTGCCTGGCACCAGCCGCTGCAGCGTGCGCATCTGACTCGCTATGCGCTCCCGCCGTCTCTGCAAAAGGGGAAGATGGGAGCGGGAAAGAGAGAATGCCGCAAGGAATGTGACGAGGGGAGGGGAGAAGAGAGCGTGGGGAGAGATAGTGCGAAAAGACGCAGGGGAGGAGACGCAAACCACAACAGCCCTTGGTCAAATCGAGTTGTGCTCTTGAATCTCTTCAAAGCTGTGCCAACTCACCCTAGCAGCAAGGCAAGCTCCAGACACCCGTCCCAACACTCGTGTCCCCTCCGCACCCTCCCCCTCCTCAAACCCTCCCACAGCTGCACCATCTTCCCCTTCACCCCCGACTCTTGCCTGTGCCTCCCACCCCCCTTCACTCCCTCCCTGCTGCTTCCCTCTCCCTGCACCTCCGCAGCCCACCTGTCCTCTACTGACAGCTCCTTCACTCCCTCCCTGCTGCTTCCTCCTCCCCGCACCTCCCTCATACGCCCCTTCATTCGCCCTGTGTTGCCTCCCCCCTGCCGCTCCCCCCCCTCTCTCGCTTCCCCGACCGCGTTTCCGAGTCTCCCCTCTCGCTTGCCGCCTCCTGCCTACATCACCATCAGCCGGTGCTTGTGCCGCTGCATGCGGTTTCTCATCTACTAGTGGGGAATCCGGGGGGGCGCTGGGGGGGATAGCGGCGCGCTGAGGGTGAGGGGGAGTGGCGGCAGGTTGGGGGGAGGTGGGGAGGGGCGAGGGGCCATCAGGGGCGGCTTGCATGTGCTGTGAGGATGTCCCAGGAGCCGCAACGGCCATTCCCCCGAATGACGTGGTGGTGGTAGTGGCGATCTGCTTGTGCTGGGAAAACGCCCCTGAAAGCGTCCCTCGCACCCCTCCCAGGGAGGTGGTGGTAGTGGTACCAGTCCTGGGACGACCATCCCCCCCGCCGCTTGCAGCGCCACCACTCACACCACCGCCGCCGCTTGCACCACCACCGCCGCTGACGCTGCCACTCAAATTGCTGGTCTGCTGCTGCAGCTGCTGCAGCTGTTGCTGTAGCTGCTCCCGCAGGCTGGTTGGGAGCTGTGACTCAAGAGGCAAGGCTGCGCTAGCAGCAGCAGGCAGGCGCAGGTTCTGTGGAGGGGACATCTGCTGCACTGCCACTGCTGAGGGTTGCACTGCTACTGCTGAGGGCGCCACGCTGCCGCTGCTGCTCCTGCGGAAACGTTTCGCAGCAGCGCTGCCGGTGGTGCCGACAGTGGCGGGGATAGTGTTACCCATGTTACCCGTGTTCCCCATGTTACCCGTGTTCCCCATGTTACCCGTGTTCCCCATGTTACCCGTGTTCCCCATGCTACCCGTGTTCCCCATGCTACCCGTGTTCCCCATGTTACCCGTGTTCCCCATGTTACCCGTGTTCCCCATGTTCCAAGTGCCGCTGGTTGCCGTGTTTCTTCTCTGCAGTTTAACATCCACATCCCCATCCCCATCCCCATCCCCATTTCCATACTCGGTTCTATCCCCAAAGTCGCCATACCCAGTCCCATCCCTATCCAAACCCCCAGCTGCAGTTGCTTCCGCCTTCCCTGCCACGTCAGCAGTGCGCCACTCGTCACCCACCCCTTCCACCACACCCCCACCACTCCCCCCGCCCATTCCCCCATCCATTCCCCCTCCGATTTCCCCCCACTTTCCTCCTGTGGGGTCACCACCAGCCATTCCACCACATCCAGCGCCAGCGCCAACGCCGGCTCTGCCCATCCCCTGGAACGGCCCCGCGAATCCGCCACATTGCCTGCCCGCCGCCGCGGCAGCCACTAGGATCATGGACGCCAGAGCGTCAATAGTGCTCGAATTATGCACTGCCGCAGCCGCCCGCTCCACCGCCGCTTCTCCGCTCGCTTGCGCCGTCACGTCTGCGCTCCCTTTAGATGCCATAGCGCCACCTGCCATAGCGCCACCTGCCATAGCGCCACCTGCCATAGCACCACCTGCCAATCCAGCGACTCCTTGTGCTTGTGGTACCACCAGCTGCTCTTGACACGTCTCGAAACTCATCCCGCTTCCTGCTAAGCCGTCCTGACCGACCAGGCCGAGTCTCTCGCCGGCGAGGGAAGCGGCAACGGATGCGGCGAGGTGGGCGGACGAGGCGGAAGAGGAGGACGCGGGGAATGCGGCGGCGAACGCGGCAGAAGGGACAGGACGCTGGAAAGAAGCTGCTGGAGTCGGTCGTGTGAGGGGCAGCGGGGGGAAAACGCCTTCCGCTGGGGGGAAACCCGGCGCAGGCGCGGTGACCGCCGCGGGGGCCAGGCTGGCGGAACTGCGCCATCCGCCAGCGCTGTCCCCCGTCCGCCCATCCCAGTACTCACCCGTTTGCCGCTGCGGCTCGTTCACGAGTGGCGCGAGGGCCTCAACGGCCTGTTGGTGCGCCGCGAGGGAGCGGAGAATGGTGGGGAGGTGGCTAGGACTGAAGCTGCCGCCGCCGCCGCCGCCGTGTCTCGCGGCGTGACTACTGATTGTACCAGCGGCGGCGGCGGCGGCGGCGGCGGCGGTTCCGCCGGCATCCTGTGACCAAAGCTGCGGCATGCCGTCGCCGCCGCTTGCGAAGTCATCGTCCGTGCGTTCATGGATTACCGTGTCGGCAATCGTACTTGCAGTACTGGCGTTTTGACGGTTGATTCCCTGAAAATGATCGTTCTGAGCCCACCCGGAGTTTTCCAATTGATACTCCCCGCGTCCGCTGTTCGACCACTCCTGGTGTAACTGCTGCGGCGCCGTGTTATGCAGCGCCGTGTTTTGCGGCGCGTTTTGCGGCAGTGTCCCTGCGTCAGCTTGGGGTGTGTAGTACGAGAATCCGCTAGTCCCCCCAGCTGTGGTTGCGGTGGTCGCGGCGGGAACCACGGCATCGAGCGACCATGGCAAGGTTACATTCGGAACGGCTGACGACGAAGCGGCGCGGAGAATAATGTCCTCCAGCTCACCCGCCGCCACGTCACTGCTGAATTCGTTCGAGACTCGCATATCATCCCAAAGTTCGGGAAGTTCTCCCTCGCGGCGCCGCGAAACGGCGATGTATGATGCTCTCTTCGCGTCGATACTCGAGTATGCTGCGGGTTTCGCGGCGGCGTGGGCGTCGGTGCTGTCTGAAACGAAGACCGCAGCAGTTGGATCAGCGTAAAACGTGTCTACAGCGTTGGCGATCATTCCGAATGGGGAAAGTGAAGAAATGTGCGTGCTACTAAATCGTTGGAAGGGGAAAATTATTTGGAACGCCTTCCTTCGTGTGATTGCGAGTTGTACACGTACGGAGACCACGGCTGTCCACAAAGACAGCACTGGCTTCGGGTCATGAACCTAGGAAGCTGGGCCTTTGGCCTAGATTTGACGTGTGAGCAGCAGCAAGAAAGGAATTCAATTCCGGTTTAGATTTCGAGGCCGGAGGGCCAAAAGCAGGCTGCCAGCTGGTTGCGAAGGGCTGGGACGCAACGGGGACACGGGAGAGGGGGGAGGAGGGGTGTGCTTGTGGGGCGAATCGGAGCATGTTGCGGGAGGGTGTCGAATCTGCGAATCGATGCCCGAAAGCGCGTTGGGATGTGGTCCCAACTTTTACGCGGCGAGGCGAGCATTTTCATCATTCCTGTGGGGGAAACTATCCCCGAGAACTGGAGCGTCCCTCGGAATGATATGTGCCGTAAAATTTACAGAATCTACTGTACACGTAGAATACACATTTTGCCGCGTGTAGAGTTCTTGTGGAATCAAATCCACAGACAGTGAAAATATTTGTGGATTCCCCTTCGAAACTGCGGTTGCGACGTCCTAGAGGATCCTCGCCAATTTCACGCCCTGCAACTTGTTTCGGAAAGCACCCTGAACCCGATGCTGGCTTGACCTATGAACTCCCCGAATTTGAAGGCTATAAACAACTCAGACAAGTGTCGAGGAATTCATAAAACTCCCGCGCTTATGCCGGAGAAAATCGACCGTAGTTTTATTGCGACCCGTTTTTGTCCCCTCTAACACGTCTGAGACGTCTGAAACGTACCCTCTTTAAAACGAAAGCATTCGGAACAGCCCTTCAATATCGGGTAATTAAAAAATCATTACACAGGGGGTGAAATTGGCCATGGTGAAGTTGGCGCGGGCTAGGTGTAACAGCTATCATTCCACAAATCGTGAGGAATATGGGCTGGATAGAACCTCTCAAATCGCTCCGAGCTTGGGGTACAGAACCAGTCAAGGGGCTGCCAGAAAGATGGCTGCTTGACAGTCGAACGGTCCTCTCCTCATACACAGGCCCGTCCCACCGCCAACGATACTACGTACCCGTTGTTTCGCTGCCGGGTCTGGGTCCGGGTCCGTTGCTGAAAAGTTTTCCCTTCTTATGCCCGAATCACTTTCAGGAAGACAACATCACTTTCAGGTTGCCACATGATGAGGGGCAGAGATTGACCAGGCCTCAATACAAGAATTTGGGATAGAACACCAGCCACCTGCCTAAAGAAGAACAGCACAGAGGCTTCTGAGTGTGGAACAAGGATGGGGTGGTCAGAAATAAGCTCGGCTGAAGGCGAGTGAGACCCATTTCTGACCCAGCCCGGCATTTCTGCGTGCTGCTTTGCCATGGCAGAGTTCAGTAAAATGCCGCCGAGACCCCGAAAACGCAGGGTGGCAAAAGGGGGAGCCCTCGCTCACTCCTACACCACACCACACCCTAGGTATTTGAAGAGCAGGTCAAGAAAGGGCATTGGGGGAGTCAGTTTGGCGATCCGATCAGGCAGGACCCCCCATTGGACGTCTGCAAGGGGCATCATTCTCGGCCAATTTCAACGGCCAGCAATAAGTTCCGCGAAGTGTGATGAAAAAAGAAAGATACACCCTCATTCTCGGCTATTGCACAATCGAGAGAAGCGTCTCCAGTCTTGTCATCTAACGCCTTGTGCATGTTCTGTTGACTTTGTCCTACATGTTGGCTAGAGATTTCACGTAAAAAAAACACAGAAAACAGACAAATCGGAGCACAGGTTCAAAACACAAACAGATTCACTACGTTCGGTAGAAAGGGGTAACGAATGGTAAAACAAACAAAGGGAAAAGTAACGGCGGGCAAACACACATGCGAGCGCACTGTGCTTGGCTGTCTTGATTTAGCCACACTTCCTGGCCAGTCCTAGTCAACAGCTGGCACAACCAAGCTGGCAGTCGTGATTGTGCTTGTAAAGTATGTGCTAGCACCATTCTGGGCACGTTGCAGTCACACAAATCATTTCGAACATATGGCGAGTCTCAGTGTGGCGAAAAAAAGGTGTACCGTTCAAGTCACAATGTGGGCAGATTCTCTGCGAATCCTACACAGTAAATATCAAGGCGTACTGGACATACGAGTGCCAGATGGAGACAACTTTGATGTGCACGATTTCATTCTCAGACACTTCACACAGAACTTTCATTCCGCTTTGCTTTGGCGAACAGTTCGGGCACTTTTGTCAAGCACATGCACCTCTGCCCAGGACGAGCATCTCAATTGCAATTGTAAACACTCATGCAGGTAATCCAATCAAAGTACTAAAATTTTACCAAGTTGTGTATGTAAAGGTAATGGTAAAGGTAAAGGAGGGGGGAGAGCCCCCTTTGGGTTACCCCCGGCTGTCGATCGTAATCCGCCTACCCACTTGTTTACATGCCTCGCTGGGAATCGAGGTGAGGATATATCCACCCCCAGACGAGCAGTGCGAACCCCCTTTTGGGGGTTGGCGGAACTCGCCAGCACTGGGGGTTTGAACCCGGAACCTTATTCTTAGGAAGTTCTATCTAACTTGACTGAGCCACTTCCGGATGCCAAGTTGTGTATGTAGATAAGCCTAATTTTCAAAACTAGAATATTGTTATCCTTGAAATCCATATAGGACTAGCATGATTAAGTTACGAGTGAAATAGGCAAAGAGGGATTTCACTAGCAAGCAGTTGAGTACATATAGGAAACCCTAATTCGGGTTGTACTCGCTATAGAGTACCCCACTGCAGGCTAGACAAACATCACATTCTGACACACCCCCATAGTCAAAGTGGGGTACAATCAATAACGTCATACCCCGGATATAAGCGCCACCCTCGGATAAGCGCCTGGCGCTTTTAATTGGCGCATGGCGCTTATATCCGCTGCTAGATTATAAGCGCACCCCCTGAAAAAACTTGTTTTATTATAAGCGCACGTAAACTTTAAATTTTGAAATGTGTTCGAAACACTGTAACGATATTTACTTTAGCAGGAGGATGTGTTGCAGATTCACTTCCCTTCACATTCGGACCCTGCACTGGATGCGGGTCCAGTCAGCAGGAGCAGTCAGGAGCTGTCAGAAGCTGTCAGAAGCTGTCAGGAGCTGTCAGAGTGGGTGTATCTCCAGCGCGCGCAAGAATTTCACAGACAACCTCATGTAACTTCGACTCGATTGAAAAAGGCAAGCACGAGATCTACAGCTTGGTGTTAAAAAATATATAAAATATATATGTCGTTTTATAAACGCCGGCGCTTATAAATTTACTCGATTATAAGCCCACCCCCCTAAAAAAACCTGTTTTATTATTGCCCCCCATGGGGGTATATCCGGGGTATGACGGTACAACAAGCAGGCAGAGCAGTAGTTCACAATTATAAGCAAAGCTAGCGGCTAGCACAGAGAGCAAGTGAGGAGGAGGAGAAACTGTGGGGGCGAGAAGATGGGAGGCGACGGCTGAAGCTGCAGACACACGGGCAGCAGGAGTGCGTAGTACTGTCGCTACCAGGCTAAACCCGGACTACACGGCGACAGACGCAGCTGGCTCGCTGTGCTCCCAGGAGTGCTCACACTGTAGCTACCGGGCGCAGAGCCCCGGACTACTCAGGCCACAGGGGGTCGTGGCTCTCTGGACTACCAGGAGTGCTCACACTGTGGCTACCGGACGTAGAGCCCCGAACTACTTAGGCCACAGGGGGTCGTGGCTCCCTGGACTTCAGGCGCTGCGGACGACAAGTCGGCTACCTCCGGTCAACCTCCCCCAACTGTCCCACACCCCGTTCACACACTCCCTGTTGAACCACTAGCACCGCTCACACGCCACCCCCCTCGTACCACTCCGACGGCTCCAACACATCCACCCCCCTCAGCGGTAGCTGCAGCAGTGGGAGACGGAGGAGGAGGAGCAGGGGACGGCTCACACACACGGCACCCCCATACTCTCCACCCCCAAACCCTAACACAGGAACGCGGGCAGCAGCAGGGGTGGGGCGCCGTCAAAAGCTCGGGGGACGGCATGCGGCTCTGGGACAGGCTGCCCGGGCCGCGCGCGGGCCTGGCGCAGCCCGTACGGGCCGCGCGCGGGCCTGGCGCAGGCCGTACGGGCCGCGCGCGGGCCTGGCGCAGCCCGTACGGGCCGCGCGCGGGCCTGGCGCAGGTCGCGCGGGCCGCGTCGGGCGACGGGGGGCGACGCGCGGGTCGCGGGGCGACGCGACGGGCTCCGGCGGGAGAGAAAACCGCCGCGCGCCCCGAGCGCGCGGCGGGAAGAAAAATCGCCGCACGCCCGGAGCGCGCGGCAGGCACGAAACAGCAGGAAACAACAGCGGAAGCTTCTGGTGGGACCACCCACAGGATCGACCCAGGAGGGTCGACCTGCTCTGATAGCATGTTAAACAGGCTAGGCGAAAACGAGAAATAGGCAAAGAGGGATTTCACTAGCAAGCAGTTGAGTACATATAGGAAACCCTAATTCGGGTTGTACTCGCTATAGAGTACCCCACTGCAGGCTAGACAAACATCACATTCTGACAGCTGCAGCAAATTATATTAATTATCATTAAATTATCCTCATCTCATAGTGATATTTCCGGGTGCAGACCTAACACAATGCAACTTATCAACACTATATGATGGTGGACAAGATCAATAACATTATGGAAATTTGTTCTAGATGCGAAATGTATGAATTGCTAGCCTGGAAGTAAATAGGGGCGTAGAAGATTCAATGGCTGCACAATATCTCAAAATTTGGGCCCAAGAGACATGAATCGTTTCATGAAAGTTGGATATGTGTCAACATTCATATCACATACATACATGCTGCATGGTTAACTCTTCTTTAGTAAGTACGAGAAGTTGGTGTAGTGATGCTACCACACCATTGTTTGTCATCTCGTTTTGCTGACGTGTTTCCCACAACCCGCTCCTCCCCCATTCCCCTGTTTTCCCCAGCCATGTCGCCCCCTCTCAGCAGCTTCCCACAACTCCTGCTTTCGTGCGCATTTCCGCAACGGAAAAATGTCGTCTTGCAATTGGCTTACTTGCTGGATTCACATGCACGGCACTCGCGGCAACCATCAGTTTTCTTCCTCTGTTGCTCCTCCCTTACTCGTGTCTCTCCTATAAAATCATTTTGTGAAGCTCTGTTTCTTGCGCCGATTTTGTTTGCCCTCCCGTGGTTCCAGTGTCTTTGGACCGTACAACTTGATAGCCGAAAACACTGACATGGCGGGAAACGCAGCGGCGTTATTCGCGCTGCGCGAGGAGTTCAAACTTCCAGCGCTCGTCGCGTTCGCGTCGCACCTCGTCTACATGCGGGTACTAGGTCACACCATGCCTCCTCTACAGACCTCATATAGTGCTTGAGGAGGAAGCGCCCCCATGGTTAACTTCCGGAATCGCATGGGCCGGGCGAAAAGCGCGCCGCTCGCACATATTTTGTCACATAACCTTACATGTTCCAATGCAGGTCGAGCGTGCATCAGGGAACCGCATTTCTCCGTTCCCCCCTCCTCTTTCCCCCCCCCCCCCCCCCCCCCCCCCCCCCCCCCCCCCCCCCAACCCGGCCTCGCGCGCTTTCCCTTACTTTCCCTTCCGCAGACTCTACTGGGCGTGCGCGCGGCGCGCCTCAAGTACCGCATTTTCGCGCCCGTCATGTCCGGCAATCCCGACTTCGACCGCGTGATCCGCGTGCAGGCTAACTTCGTTGAGCAATTTGTACGTGATTGACTACTGTTCGGACTTATTCAGACTTATTCGCAGTCGCCTTCGTCTGGCCGTTAGAATGTGCTGGACGTTTACACGTTTAGTCCAGGCTTATTTCGAGATCTTGAGCCCAGGAAAAATATTGTGTCAGCATAGGTTTTCACTTTTCCCTCTGCCATCCCGATACCCACCTGACCATTTCCCCCCCATTCCCTAAAACACAGCCACACAAACCCCCCCAAATTCTGCCTTCCCTTCCCCTCCCCAACTTCTTTTCCCTCCCCCAACTCCCCCCACCCCCTCGTTACAATCACAGCCGTCGTTTATCACGTCCATGTTCCTCTGCACGCTGTTTGAAGGTGGCACGGTGGCAGCAGCACTGGGCGCGGTGTGGGTGGTCTTTCGCGCCGCACATGGGGAGCGCTACAGTGCTCGCAGGCTGGGGTACGACATTTTTTGGTACACTGTTCCGCAGTATGCGGTGATCGCTGTCATGTACCTGCTGCCCCTATTCAGAATCATCCCCACACTTCTTTAGGCATGCAATTGCTGTAGTTTGACATGTATTGCTACCTCTCTTAGAACTAGTTAAGTGTTACTTTAGGCGTGAGTGGCTGTCATCTACTTACTGCCTCTATTCAGAATCATTCCATGGTTACGCTGCTATCGGTGTGCACAAGCTGCCCCTAATTACACGTGCTGCCGTACCCTGCTGCCTCTCTTTGGAGTCGATTTCACATCGGATCTCCTTCAAGCACAGGGAAGTGGCTAACTAAACACTAACCTGTCATGGCTAGCAACAAAGGTGCCATGCCAACATGCAGTCACGAATGCCATCAATCAAGCGCCTCTAGTAAACAATAATGGTGCTGCAAGGCCGTATGCGATGCAGCACCCACAAAAACGCCTCCCTCATTAACACCCGCATGTATCCATGGCCGGGCCCCTCTCTCTGTCTCTCTCTGCCCACAAAAATGCCCCTCGCTTGTGTGTCGAGACGTCTCAAAAGCACCCACAAAAATTCTCCCTCCTGACTAACACCCCCATGCATCCATGGCCAGGCCCCTCCCTCACCGCCCCTTCTCCCTTCCACCGCCCCCCCCTGTGACCTCCACGCCCCCCTCCCCATCAACTGGCATGCCTGCCGACGCCGCAGCGAAGGCAGCATCGTAGCGCTGCAAGGCTGCGTGCTGTGAACCCACAGGAAAAAGCTACCAGTACCCTTCCTTGTCAAAACCCAGGCGCACTCATTGCCCCTCCCCCAAACTCCTCCTTCACTTGCTGCCCCATACTGCTCCCCACCACCACCACCACCCTCCTCCGCACGCCCCTGCGCCTCAAGTGGCATGTCTGCCAGGGCTGCAGCAAAGGCAGCATCGTAGCGTTGCAAGGACAACATGCACCCAGGCAGGGGTGTCCCAACTCTGCATCCACAAGAAGAAGCCCACATTCCCTATCACAACCTGCGCGCATCCATTGCCGCGTGTGATAAGTCGATATTTGAGTCAACTAAAAAATCGACCCGACTCTGCACCCACAGGAAGAAGCCCGAATTCCCAATCAAAACCCGCGAGCATCCATCGCCCCTCCTCCAAACTCTTCCTTGTAATGCTCCCCAAACTGCTCCCCACCAGCAGCACCCTCCTCACTCCCCTGCCCCTCCAGCGGCATGCCTGCCAGGGCTGCAGCAAAGGCATCATCGTATTTCTGCAAGGAGTCGTGCACCCAGGGAGGGGTGCCGCGGCTCTCCACCCACAGCGGCTGGCCCGTTGCTATCTTCTTGAAATCCGGGTACTTGGGGGGCACTTCCCCGTGTTGCTGCAAGGGAAGGGGAGGGAAGATAGTTTTTGAAGGCATCATCGTAGTGTTGCAAGGAGTCGTGCACCCAGGGAGGGGTGCCGCGGCTCTGCACCCACAGCGGCTCCCCCGTGGTTAGCTTCTTAAAATCCGGGTACTTAGGGGGCACTTCCCCGTATCAACAGCAAGCTCAACACAAGGCATGCTTCCATGACCCATGCTCCAACCCATGCATGCCCTACCTTCATCTCCCGGTAGTCAAAGAATTGCACTGGGTCGTTGAAAAAGTCCCGCCACAATGCCTCCACCTGCCCCGCTGCCAGGGCGAGCGACGGGAGACAGAGTCGAGGGGGAGATGCGGGGCGGGCGACGGGGGACATAGAGGACAGCGAGGAGGGAGGTTCTGAGATGTCTGCAAACTCAAGTGAATTGCACAGGGTCGTCAAAGGACTCCCGCCACAATGCCTCCACCTGCCCCGCCGCTGCCAAGGCGAGCAATAGGGGTTAAGGTGAAGGGGCGAGGAAATTGCGGGGGAGGGACTGGGGGGAAGGGGAGCGATGAGGGGGGAGGGAGGGAGGTTCTGAGACGTCTCCAAACTCAAGTGAATTGCACAGGGTCATCAAAGGACTCCCGCCACAATGCCTGGGGGGGACCAACCAATAAAGTGGTGGGCAAGTGGGGGTGACTTTTGAGTCGACTCAAAAGTGATCAAAGGACTCCCGCCACAATGCCTGGGGGTGGGGGGGCTAGTGGAGTGGTGGGCCTGTGGGGGTCATCAAACAACTCACGGCACAATGCGTGGGGGGACTCCTGCCACAATGCCTGGGGGGAACTCCTGCCACAATGCCTGGGGGGACTCCTGCCACAATGCCTGGGGGGACTCCCGCCACAATGCCTGGGGGGACTCCTGCCACAATGCTTGGGGGGACTCCTGCCACAATGCGTGGGGGGACTCCTGCCACAATGCCTCCATCCATCGCCCCCCACTTGCCCACCACTCCATTCACCTCCCCCTCGCCTCTCTTCTTCCCCAGCCCACCACTCAACCCCACACCCAGCTTCCTTCTTCCCCAGCCCACCACTCAACCCCACACCATCCTTCTTCCCCAGCCCACCACTCAACCCCACACCCAGCTTCCTTCTTCCCCAGCCCACCACTCAACCCCACACCCAGCTTCCTTCTTCCCCAGCCCACCACTCAACCCCACACCCAGCTTCCTTCTTCCCCAGCCCACCACTCAACCCCACACCCAGCTTCCTTCTTCCCCAGCCCACCACTCAACCCCACACCCAGCTTCCTTCTTCCCCAGCCCACCACTCAACCCCACACCCAGCTTCCTTCTTCCCCAGCCCACCACTCAACCCCACACCCAGCTTCCTTCTTCCCCAGCCCACCACTCAACCCCACACCCAGCTTCCTTCTTCCCCAGCCCACCACTCAACCCCACACCCAGCTTCCTTCTTCCCCAGCCCACCACTCAACCCCACACCCAGCTTCCTTCTTCCCCAGCCCACCACTCAACCCCACACCCAGCTTCCTTCTTCCCCAGCCCACCACTCAACCCCACACCCAGCTTCCTTCTTCCCCAGCCCACCACTCAACCCCACACCCAGCTTCCTTCTTCCCCAGCCCACCACTCAACCCCACACCCAGCTTCCTTCTTCCCCAGCCCACCACTCAACCCCACACCCAGCTTCCTTCTTCCCCAGCCCACCACTCAACCCCACACCCAGCTTCCTTCTTCCCCAGCCCACCACTCAACCCCACACCCAGCTTCCTTCTTCCCCAGCCCAACACTCAACCCCACACCCAGCTTCCTTCTTCCCCAGCCCACCACTCAACCCCACACCCAGCTTCCTTCTTCCCCAGCCCACCACTCAACCCCACACCCAGCTTCCTTCTTCCCCAGCCCACCACTCAACCCCACACCCAGCTTCCTTCTTCCCCAGCCCACCACTCAACCCCACACCCAGCTTCCTTCTTCCCCAGCCCACCACTCAACCCCACACCCAGCTTCCTTCTTCCCCAGCCCACCACTCAACCCCACACCCAGCTTCCTTCTTCCCCAGCCCACCACTCAACCCCACACCCAGCTTCCTTCTTCCCCAGCCCACCACTCAACCCCACACCCAGCTTCCTTCTTCCCCAGCCCACCACTCAACCCCACACCCAGCTTCCTTCTTCCCCAGCCCACCACTCAACCCCACACCCAGCTTCCTTCTTCCCCAGCCCACCACTCAACCCCACACCCAGCTTCCTTCTTCCCCAGCCCACCACTCAACCCCACACCCAGCTTCCTTCTTCCCCAGCCCACCACTCAACCCCACACCCAGCTTCCTTCTTCCCCAGCCCACCACTCAACCCCACACCCAGCTTCCTTCTTCCCCAGCCCACCACTCAACCCCACACCCAGCTTCCTTCTTCCCCAGCCCACCACTCAACCCCACACCCAGCTTCCTTCTTCCCCAGCCCACCACTCAACCCCACACCCAGCTTCCTTCTTCCCCAGCCCACCACTCAACCCCACACCCAGCTTCCTTCTTCCCCAGCCCACCACTCAACCCCACACCCAGCTTCCTTCTTCCCCAGCCCACCACTCAACCCCACACCCAGCTTCCTTCTTCCCCAGCCCACCACTCAACCCCACACCCAGCTTCCTTCTTCCCTAACGTACCATTCAGTTTGCCATCGAATCGCGGAAGCCGAGGCAGCCCGTTGGCATCTGTAGCCACCACTGGTGCATCCATCGCTCCCCCCTGCCCGCCGCTCCCCGCCTGATTACCATAGTTTTGGTTATCATAGCCCTGACTGCTGCTGTAACTGTTCTGTTCAGGATAAGTGGTTTCCTGAGGGGCGTACGACCCCTGGTTGTAACCCCCCTGGTTGTAACTCCCCTGGTTGTAACCCCCCTGGTTGTAACTGCCTTTATTGTAACCCCCAGGACTGGTTTCACGCCCCCTGCTGCTGCTCTGGTTGCTGCTGCTGGCACCGAATTTACTAGCCACGAGGCATATCTGCTTCACATCCACCTGCGACGGAGAGGAGGAGGCAGAAAGAAGGGATAGGTTGGGGTGGGGAAAAAAAATTACATGTGCAATCGCCCCTTCACATACATGTGTATGCACGGACCCCCACCCACCCACCCACGCAGCCACACATGTACCTCACACCCAGGCACCCAATAACATGCACAAGAAAGCCACACCTTGGGATCCAGCCTCGTTTCCCCGCTTCTGTCTGTGTACTCCTCCATGTGCAATCGCCCCTTCACATACACCTGCGCTCCCTTCTTGAGGTTCTGAGCAAGAATTGCCACATCGTTCCACATCTCTATTGCGTACCTGCATGCACACACATGCGGACATGCACACGCACATGCAGACACGCACACGCGCATGCGGTCATGCACACGCGCATGCGGACATGCACACGCACATGCGGACATGCACACACACATGCAGATATGCACACACACATGCAGGCACGGACACGTGCAGGCATGCACACACACATGCAGGCACGGTCACATGCAGGCACGGACACATGCAGGCACGGACACATGCAGGCACGGACACATGCAGGCGTGCAAACAGGAGGAGCCAGATAAAGAACCTTCCCTTCTTTAAACCCCATGCTCCTGATCCAATGTTCCACACCCATTGCCCCATGCTCCTCCCTAAGTAGTGTGCTCCTCCCCATCGCGTCCTGAGATAAACTTTACAACAGAGCTCAAAGACAGTCGGCTCATGGTCCTCCCCACCAGTCGATGCGCTCCTCCCCATTCGCCTTCTTCCACCCCACTGCACCGAATACAACACCACATGCCAGTCATGCATTCAACACCACCTGCAGTTGTCTTTTAAGCCGACTCGAAAGTCCTCACCAGTCGGTGCGCTTCTCCCCGTTCGCCTTCTTCCACCCCACCGCCAGCTTCACTCGCGCCACGGAGTTGCCATTGTCAAAGAACCGCAGAGCTGGCTCCGCTGCTATGTTGCCTGTATGGTCAAGCATGGGTCATGCATGGGTCATGCATGGCATATGATGGTATGAACGGGTTATGGATTCGCCTTCTTCCACCCCACCGCCAGCTTCACTCGCGCCACGGAGTTGCCATTATCAAAGAACCGCAGAGCTGGCTCCGCTGCTATGTTGCCTACACGGGCCGTGTATGGGTCATGAATGAATCATGGATGGGATATGGATGGGTCATGCATGGGGTATGGACGGGTCATGGATGGGGTATGGGTGAGTCATGGTCATGGATGGGTCATGGATGGGATATGGATGGGGTATGGATGGGGATTGGATATCACATGGGATAAGGATGTGACACATGAGCGGAACACACGGAACGCGCGTCTTTAGGCACGACATTCGACACGTCTTTAGGCACGACATTCGACACGTCTTTAGGCACGACATTCGACACGTCTTTGTGCTCCTCAAAGCTAATAGAAGATAAGATGCGCGCACAGAACAGATTCACGGACCAATCAGTTGCACGGAATTCGACAGCTCGGATTGCCATTCGATGGTCTTGATCTCATCGCTCGCCTCCTCCTGCCCGTGCTGCTGCTGCGCCGCCGGCGGAGGCGGCGGCTGTTGCGGCGGCTGCTGCTGCTCGCCCCGTCGCTGAAACGAACCCGGCGAAGTTCTAGACTGATACGGCTGCTGATCGTACTGCGAGAACTGATTCGGCGATTGCTGATCGGACCGCTTATACTGACTCGACTGCGGGTACTCTTGTCCGCCATACGACGACTTCTCATATGACCGTTGCTGATTTCCCGCGTTGTAGCCCTGCGATTGCGGCCGATACTGTCCCTTCCTCTCGCCGTACAGATCTGACGAGTAAGACGCTGCCGGAATTACACGCTGTATTGTACTTCTCGTTAAAAACAGCGCGGTGCCGACGCTGGCTCCGCTGCCCCGCAGAACGCGCTGCGCGGAACGGGAGAGAGAAAGCATGGCTGGGCGTTGACGCGAAGGAACCGAGGAAACAGAGGTATCGAATCTGGCGTTGCTAGCGGGACGAATAAGGGTCGAAGCGCAAGCGGCTGGCATCGTAGCTAGAGCCGTCCAACAGAAGCGAGCGTCATGCGCGCTCGGAAAAAAGGGAGATGGCGTCGTGAGGAAGCAATGATCAAGTGAAAGAGCGGGAGGTGGAATGAGAGGAATCAAACAACACAAGGTATTTCCGAGGACGAGGAGGCTAGTGCCAGAATTGTTCCGATAGTTCCAACAGTTATATTGATTTCGCTACACGCAAGTCAGATTCAACCCTACATGGCTTTCACAACTTCTGTACAGTAGAAGTTCGTCAATCTATTTAGGTGATATAAAAGCCCTACCTGAACAAGCCACACTAGGACGTAGCACGTGATTCTCATAGCTGCTGGAACAAGAAAACTCTCATTAAAGTTCCAACCGCTTCAATTTCCTCCAAACAAAATGGCACGCCTTGCAGAGCGGTTAGGAGAGGCTGCACGGCTACCTTCCCTTGACGCAGCAAGAACTCCCATTCCTCCCATTCCTCCAGTTTCACTCATTCCACCCATTCCGACAATTCCAACCATCCCAACCATCACAGCAGGTACGGCAGGTGTACTTCCACAGGTTCTCCGGCCAAGCCTGCGAGCCGAGGCTGACACCAACTGCGCTTGAAGTGGAACAACGTAACCACTGGGACACGTGGCTGCTGAGCTGGCATGACTGGGCTGCAGGGCACGATGACTCACACCATAGCTGTGAATCTCTTCTTTGCAGTGTGAGTCACTCAGGTGTCGCTGCTGGTTCTGCTGTAGCTGCTTTACTTGCTGCACCAACTGTTGATGCTGCTGCTGCTGGTGTTGCTGCTGCTGCTGCTGCTGCTGCCCGTACTGCTGCTGAAGCTGCCGACTCCAAAGGGAGGAACAGTCTCCTCTCGGGCTGTTACCACAGCTACCAGGCGCTACCAGCCCCAGCCTCCCCATGCCCACCCCCCCATTCCCCCCGCGAGTCAGACCAGTAAGCGCAGCAGGGATGTGCAGGCGGGAGGGGAGGTGCACGGGGGGAGTCAGCGCGGCGGAGTGGGACAGGGGGGAGCGGGCGGGGGAAGCCAACGGGCAGCGCTTGCACTCGTACATCGGGTCGCCCTTGCGCGGGCCATGTGGCAGCTTCTTATTGGCTGCCAGCTCCATGAGCGTGCTTCGCACTGACGCGTTCTGCGCGTCGCGACTGCACGCGCCCGGATTGTCGCCCCGCTTCCCCCCCAAGTTCCCTCGGCTATCAATGCGCCCCACGTTCTCGCGATCCGCGCACTCGGCGCCCGCGCGCGTTCCTAAAGGCTCCGCCAGAGCCGCCTTCCCAGCTCGCATTACGCCCATCTGCGCGCCATTTTCGCCCTCCATCCGAATCCGCCCGACCCCGTTCCCTTCCTGCCCCCCCGAATTCTCCCCACTCCGTTCATCCCTCGCCATTGTCACATTCTTCTCCGCAATTTCCGCCGCCATAGCAGCTGCCGTGGCATCGTCATCAGCATGCTGGGGAGGCTCCAACATTTCACACCTGTCTCCGCGGTCCGCGGAAGTTGCGCCCGTGTCTTCCGCCGACGGCGCTTGCGCGGGTTGCGCTACCGGCAGGGCCGGGGGGGAGGAGGGCTGGTCGCGTAGCGGAAAGGCGGGTGCGGGGAGGAGAAAAGGGTCGAACATGTCCGCTGCGCCCTCTTGCGCGGACATGGGGCCGCTCGGCGCGCTGCACGGCGCCTGAACCGACTCAAACGACGCGCGCGCCTGCGCGGAAGATGATAGTGCGCTTCCCGCCTGACACAGCAGAGAGCTGGGGGACTCGGCGGAGAACATGGGGGACGGCTGCGAGGAAGACGGGGGGCGCGGGAGATGCGCGGAGTCAAGTTGCGCTTGCGCTGTGCGGAGAATGCAGAGCTGCGCCAACCGCTTGCTGTTTCCTCCGCCTGCGCCGAGCTCCCCGCGGTCCGCCTGGCGCACGTCCCGCACTGGAGAGGCCAAGGCGCGGCGGGAGCGTGACCCGAGCGGAGACCCCGCGGGGATTCCTGGGTTGGCGGAGCCCATCAATGGCGAGCGGAATGGGGAGAGCGGCGACTCTCGGTGCCGCGGGGTGGTGAGCGGTCCAGTGTCCTTACGAGATGGTGAAGGCGCGGCGAATATTGGATCGCGCCATTCCTTGGCGGGCGAGAGAAGTACCGGTTTACGGTGCATGGCGGGTGGGCTCAGAGCGAATGGCGACTTATTCAAAGGAAAACAGTTAGGACAGTAAGCTTTAATCTATTCCGAATGGACTCAGTCAAAGGGTCTTAGAACTCGTACGGCAAGTATACTAGGCGACAGACTTTTGAAAATGCAGTTCAGATATGACGGTGGTGCAATCTAATGATGGAACTGGGACTAAGCGCAGTTGGCGGAGCGCATATCACTCAAGTCAAGCGCAGGAGTACTGGACAAAGAAAGCTCAAGCGGCATGCCAGAAGGACGGTGTGAAGAAGTGCGAAAAAGGTCAAGAAGACCCCCAGAGCCGCTGGGGGAGTCGCTCACAGCCGCAAGTGACAGGTCAATTGGAGGGACACGAACGATGAATTTGAGGCATGGAGGGAATGAGGGACATTTGTGGAATCCCCGAAGCGTAGGGAGGAGGAATCTGATGCAGGTTTGGCTGCTCCGACGCAGACTCTGGAGCCCTCCCCTGCCCGAACCGATGGTTTTTTGCATGGTTGTTGCTCGGTTCGGTTCTGTCGTTTAGCGTGCTTGCCTTCTCCCCTCGCCTGCTTCTGGCGCGCCTGACCACCATCTCCACAACTCCCCGTCAGCCTCGGCGAGTGGTACTGTATGTACGAAGGCGAAGCGAAGCACTCCAGAACGGAATGCGAAGCAGTCGCACGCGGTTTGCCTCCACATACAGTATTCCCTCCCACCGGCTGACTGGCAGTGAAACAGGCGATATTAAATGTGATTGGCCAAACGCCGCTCGTTTGCCCTTCCTGACACAACGCAGATTCTAGCGGCGCGTGTTTCCGTCAGAGGCCGACCGACACCCCGCGAGAACTCACGGCGAGACAGTCGCAGACCCGAATCTGCATGCGTTGCTCAAGGAGGATCTCAATATTGGAACTTCAATCAAACTTGCCTTCTTCACAGTCGGTCAATCTATACTTATTTATGCTATTGTTGGACATGAACTCCATGGCCTGGCCAGTGTAGCAAAACAGCGTAAGCTGATCAATATCCCCAGTCTGTACAGCCTATAATATTTACACTCGTGCAAATTGCGCATCCACCCGTTATTCTAAACTTTGTTTGTCCTTGATTCCTCGTGCTTTTAGAATGAGGAATGTAGACCTGGAATGTGGAATAAGACGCCGCAATGAAATACCTCAGCGACTAAAAAATATGCAGATTGTGCAAACGAGACGATAACATGCGACATCGAAGACTCACCAGAAGATAGCAATAACATTGGAGAAGAGCACACGTAGATTGAATGGAATGAACTTGTAGTTAATCAGTGCTACAAGCGGCCACACCTGAAGCAAACAACAAAAAGAACGAGCCAAGTGAGACCACAACTGTGAGACTCAAGAAGACGAAAAATTGCAGGCGATACATTTCAAATAGCTTCACTTTACCTTCCATCCATTGATCTGGATCCCTGGGTATGCAGCAAAGAGCCGTCTCTTGGATGCCATCCATGAGCGTCGCTCCACCACATAGGCGATCCACATAATGGCCACCACATTGCAGCACGGGCCGTATGTCAACTGCTCTACCACCACCTGAAAACAAGAAAATGAAGGCATCCAGCTGAATTTGGACAATTTGAGCCTTTCGATTTACAATTCTGTGGAGGATTGCAAGGCCAGAGCAATGCATACACACTCTCAACACCCTCATTACATGCCTCTCGTTCCGCCTCTACCCTCCTCTTCTCGTTAGCCAATCCATTCCCCCGCATCTCGCTAGTCACTCAGCTCGTTTTGCTTACCTTCTTCAAAGCGGTTTTGGTGTCTCTCTTGGCTGCAAAAATGGCATCGAGCGCACGATGCACCATGTGCGCTGATGGACCCATGTAGAGCAGGCCAAACAGCTGAGAGGTGTAGTGAGGGGTGGGTGAGGGGTGTATTGAGGGGTGGAGCGATCATGGAAGACAGCCATAATCTGGAAGGATTGTGGAGGGATTAGTAAGGGAGACAGGCCTGATATGCTAACAAATAGGAGAAGCACGGTATGTTCGCAGCCTTAATATGCATTCGATGGGAGTGGTTAAAAAGAGGAAGCAAAATAGGACTGGACACCTTTTTTTCGGCATGGCATGTCCACTTTCACCCTCCTTTCAACAAGTCATCTCGTCTGCATACACCCTCCTACACACACCTTCCTGCATGCACCTCCTACACGCACCCACATGAGAATCGTTCGCCTGAGCTCCACGGGCTTGCGGGACGCCAGTCGCTGCGCCATCAGGTCGCTCACGGCCGCTAGCGACGCCGACGTCAGTGCCTGAACAACGGGGACGGTGAAATTAGGCGAAATTAACGGCTACGGAGTCAAGACCATACTACGGATTCCGGCGAGGAATAAGAGAAATGGCTTACAGATGAATAAGATGTGTACGGGGAGAACGGGTGGGAGCGATGCGTGAATCCGGACAGTGAGAACGATGCGAGTGATAATCAGAATGGTGGGATCACGGGCGTTGCACCTTGGTGAGGACCGGGCGATGCTTGAGCGAGTCGAGATACCTCACCCAGATCGCGTGCAGCAATGCCGCCATGACTGACTAATGAACAGCGAGAACGGTTAGTAGATTCACAAAAAGAGTAGTCGCTTGTTCGGATTTATCTAACCGTACACGACGCTGATCAGCGGCTCCTGATTCCTGAAGCCTACTCATTCAGACCGTATCAAAGAAATCCGTACACAATGCCTTGATCACAGGGCTCGCCTTGCTGTTATCTGTCAGATGACAATACCAAGGGCGATCTTTCGAGCTGACAGGAGATGGCGGCAATTGCATGAACTGATACTACAGTGAATTGAATGCTGTTGGAGCGCATAAGAATGATATCATTTCTAAAAGAAACTGAAGCTGCAATATTTTGAGGGTGTCTGGTCAATCAAACCCGACAAACAGGGCATGGATGGAAAGTGAAATGATGCACTCTTAGCAAGAGCTGGCGGGAGGTTCGCTGAATGCCTTCTGGCGACAACTCCTGTTCTTGAGTCATAGGAGGAAGCAGGAAGCCTGCACATGCACATTAGGCAGAAGCATGATTATTGGAAGTCATACCAAGCACACAAAAAAAGGGCTTGCTATGCATAAATCCACATGCACGTACCAGTGTGTAACGCACGATCCTCTCTTAACCGTCGATTCTCTCTGCATCATCAAAGGCGCTGTCATTGTGCATGCATTGGTAGGCCCTCACTACCACTCATGCCTCGGGCTCCACGTGCCGTTGGTGAGTGTCCGCCATATGCGTTCACCTCAGGAACCAGCAGGGCCTGTGCGTGCCTTGGTTGGCCCCTCTCTACCACTCATGCCTCGGGCTCCACGTGCCGTTGGTGATAGTCTGTCCAGGCGGCAGCAGCACCCCCGCCACCCACTGGCACCGTTCGGGCGCCTCGGCATGCCTCGCACGGAGTTCCCGAGGGTACTCCCCCCGCGCGTTCACCTCGGGGCTCTGCGGGGCTTCGGAGAATTTGAGCCAGCAGTCGCCGAACGTGTGTGTGTGCGCGTCGGGTTCAAAGCAGGAAGGGGCAGAGCAGAACACCCAGACGTTGCAGGGGAGCCGGCCAAAGGGACCCCCTACTTGTGGGCCTGGTTCGTGGTCTCTGGGGGGGGGGAAATAACGGGAGGAGGCCTAAGGGAGGTGAAAATAAGGTGAGGGAGCTCCCGAGGGTACTCCCCCTGCGCGTTAACCTCGGGGCTCTGCGGGGCTTTGGAAAATTGAGCCAGCAGTCGCCGAACTTGTGCGTGTGGGCGTCGGGCTCAAAGCAGAAAGGAGCAGCACAGTGCACCCAGATGTTGGCAGGGCATGTAGGGCACCCAGATGTTGGCAGGGCATGTAGGGCACCCAGATGTTGGCAGGGCATGTAGGGCACCCAGATGTTGGCAGGGCATGTAGGGCACCCAGATGTTGGCAGGGCATGTAGGGCACCCAGATGTTGGCAGGGCATGTAGGGCACCCAGATGTTGGCAGGGCATGTAGGGCACCCAGATGTTGGCAGGGCATGTAGGGCACCCAGATGTTGGCAGGGCATGTAGGGCACCCAGATGTTGGCAGGGCATGTAGGGCACCCAGATGCTGGCAGGGCATGTAGGGCACCCAGATGTTGGCAGGGCAGGGGGGCGAAGGGACCCCCTACATGTGGGCCTGGGAAGGAGTGATGGTGGAATAAGGAGTGGCGGACGACTCAAAAGGCACATCCGTGGGAGTTAGGGAGTGAGTCGATTCAAAGGGTACCTGGAAGCCTGATAAGAGGTAAGAGGTACCTGCAGGCCTGACAGCATTGCTCAGGGGTGGTGGTCTTGTGGCCGATGCCCCACCGCACGGCGAGCCCATCTAGGCTCACCTCCCGCTCCATGTGGCACTCCTGCCCCTCCCCGCTCTTCCCTCCCTGCCCATACAGCCATGCGCAAACACGTGGCACATGCAGACACACACTCAATCACACACACACAGTCACACACAGAGTCACACACACAGTCACACACACAGTCACACACACTCAATCACACACACACAGTCACACACACAGTCACACACTCTCAATCACACACACACAGTCACACACACAGTCACACACACTCAATCACACACACACAGTCACACACACAGTCACACACAGAGTCACACACACTCAATCACACACACACAGTCACACACACAGTCACACACAGTCACACACACTCAATCACACACACACAGTCACACACACAGTCACACACACTCAGTCACACACACACAGTCACACACACAGTCACACACACAGAGTCACGCACACAGAGTCACACACACAGTCAAACACCGCAATGTATTCAGACGACATTCTCTCTTTCTACCTTCCTGGTTTTGCCTCACTGCACGCATTGTCACCTCCGCGCACAGTCACAGTCACACGGCAGGGAGAGACGAACGTGCTGTTCTGTTCTTCAGAAACAAGTCCTCAGGTGATTTTCCCGATAGGAGTCTTCGAAAATCACCTGGAGATTCACCTGAGGCAGAGAGGGGACGCACCTGGGGATGCATGGACCACCACAGGCGATTCGTCGGCGACGCCTCGAGACACGTGGCGTTCACGTGCGCGTAGCCGTCGACAGCTGGTGAGCCGCACACGCGCTCGAGCGGAGCGCTGTCGGCGGGAGCTCGAAACGCGGGCTGCTGCTGCAGCTGCAGCGGCGCGGGCCTAGGGACCACAGCAGGGATTGCGGCGTCATTCACGCTTGACTGCGCGTTACCGACGGGTGCGGTGAATGCGGTCTTGGAGGAGAGAGAACGAGAGTCGCGCGGGCTCGTGCGCGTGCGCGCGAGGGAGCGAGGAGAGTTCTTCTGGGTCGACTCAGAAGTCAACAAGTTCTGGGAGGAGAGAGGACGAGAGTTGCGCCGGCGCGTGGGTGCGAGGAGAGCGACGCTGTGAACAGCAGTGTACGCGGCGACAAGCGCGAGGACGAAAGCCAATGCGACGGCGACAGTGCGCTTGACGGACGCCATGGCTAGGCCTTGGAAGTGTGAATCCTGTGCTGGGAACTTCCACCTTAGCTGTGGAATTGGTTGGAAGGGAACTAAACAGCGCTATTCGTCAAAACCAGATTTGTTCATCCGTGAGAAATGCGAGACCAATCATACTCCCTGCGGAAATTGATCGAAATGAAAGCCGAATATACAATTTGAGCAAATATGCGTGTACAGTTTTCAACATAACAAATAAAACTAGCAATAGCTAACAGAATTGCGAGACCCAGCTTTCACGTCTTCCAGGCCTTCTTCCCCTGGAAATTCTTCCCCTTGTTGCGCCGTTTGCCCTGCGTGCGTCTCTTGAGCTTCATACGCTGTGCTGCCATGGGCGCTGCCTTGCGCTTCTCCTTCTCCCTATTGGACAAACCCCCCACCTGCAAAGCAACACAGATGAGAGGGAGGGGGTGAGAGTATCGTAAGTACACAAGACGGATGAAGGCAAAACAAGCATTCACAACAACTCGCAAGATGTGTTTTGGGGCGCCTCGAAAATCAACAAGCACTAACAAAGCGTAACACGATGTGTTTAGAGGCGCCTCGAAAAGCGTGGTGAGAGGGATGCAAGATGGGAGGAGCTTTACCTTCTGCTGCTTGAGCGCCGACTTGGCAAAGAAGCTTCGGTCCTCTCTGCCTGCCATCACTGCTGCCATGCGCTCCTCCTTGTCCCTCCGTGCCTTTATGTGCACCTGGGGGGGGAGATGCAGGGGAGTGGGGTGAAGTGCAGGCCAGAGCATGTAGGGGTGGGTGGGGAGGGGCGACAAACACAGAGACACACACGCACGTGTGACTTTTGAGTCGACTCAAAAGTCACCAATGTAAAGCCACACGCACTGCGAGCAGGTGAAGGCATAACAGAGAACGAAGAAGCGAGCCACACACTCCCACCGACGGATAGCATACGGCCACAGGTCGAAGCCACCGCTAGCAGCAGCCCACTCCACGTCAGCACGACTCACCTCCAGGTCAGACGGGTCCACTCGGCGATCAGCAAGCGAGTGCGAGCGTGCTTGATGCGAGTGGGCGAGTGCATTGGCCGCTTTCTTCATGCCCTTGCGCCTCAACATCGACTCAGCAGCCTGCTTCGCCTGCATCCTCCTGATCTTCCTGAAATCCTCTGTCGACAAAAACCCATCCTTCTCCTCCTCCTCCCCTTCCCCCTTCTCCTCTGCTTTCCCTCCCCTGTCTTCCTCTCCGGCTTTCCCTTCCCCTTGTGCTGCTGCTGCCCCCCCTGCAGCTAGTCGTTTCAGCTGCCTCAGACTCGCCCCTTCCACTCTCACTGGTTCCTCTGCCTTCCGCTTCCTGCTCACCCCTGGCTTATCTTGCAGCTGCATCCCCTCCTCCTCTTCCTCTTCCATTTCCTCCTCCTCTTCCTCCTCTCCCTCACTCTCCACTTCCTCACTCCCTGAACTCCCCTCCTCATCACTCTCCCCTTCTACCTCCTCCCCCTCCTCCCCCTCCTCTCCCTCCTCCACCTCCTCCTCACTCTCCTCCCCTTCCTCCTCCCTCTCCTCACCTCCCTCCTCCTCACTCTCCCCCTCGCTACCCTCCTCACTCCCCTCCTCCTCCCCATCACCCTCCTCTTCCGGAATCCCCAGCAGCTCAATCCCAGGCACATGATCAGACACTGCGACGTGGCCAAACGCCACTGGCTGCACAGCTTCCCCTGCCTTCCCCGGCTTGCCCCGGTCCTTGCGCTGCAGCAGCGACGGATTCACCTGGAGGGGTTCAAGGGAATTTGGGGGGAGGGGGACGGGCGCAAGCGGGAAGGGAAGGTGATGGGGGCAGGAGGAGGAGAGGAAGGTGCATGGGGGGTAAGTGATGGGGGATGGGCGCAGCAGGCTCACACCTCCCTGGCATTTCACTTCCATTCCAAATCCTACCAGAGCACATTAACCCTCATGTACCCCTCTGAACCTTTCTGTACATCTATGTACCACTCTGTACCACTCCCTACCTCTCTGAAGAGTGAGATAATCGATCTCGCAGCAGCAGCAACAGCCTTCTCGCGTGCTTTCTTGTACATGGCCAGGTCCTGCAGCAGCTCCTCGCCCATGACCAGGGGCATACGTGCACACACCTCCCTCACTGCATTGAGCCCCACTGCTATGACCTCTGGCCGGGCCCTGTCGTGCACGAACAGGTTCACTATCTGCTTCACCATGCTCTCTACTGCGTCTGGGGGAACCTGGGGGAGGGGCGAGATGGAGAAGGGAGAGAGCGGAGATTATGAGACTAGGGAGACTGAATCGCACACACCTCCCTCACGGTGTTGAGCCCCACCGCTATGACCTTGGGACAGGCCTGGTCGTGAACAAAGAGGTCCGCTATCTGCTTCACCATGTTCTCTACTGCGTCTGGGGGGACCTGGGGAAGGGGAGTGGTGAAGGAAGGGACAGAGAAGGGAGAAAGAATGGAAAACAGGAGACTAGTTCTCACACACACCCTACCTCAGGTCAGCCCAACCACGATACACACCCTCACCAGCTGTGAGTCATGACACGACTCACTAGTGAGCCAACCATCACCTGGTGATGGTTGGCTTGCATTGCAACGGCAAGGAGGTGCGTCCTTACGCAGTCGACTCAAGAATCACCTTGTTACAAAACTGTGTTGCATTCAATCACACTGTGTGCTTTCCACAAAACGTGCAATTGTTAGAATGATATGTTCTAGCATGCTAACACTTGTGACTGTACACCAATTGTGGTGTACAGTTGGGTTGGGACTACACCCAACTTTGGGTGTAGTCTTGCATTGTGGGGTGCCAATCCACCCAATTGTGGTGGAGCCCCCAAATGCAACCCACTGGGCCTTAGGCTGCCTCACTTCCCAAAAGTGAGGCTAACCCAACCAAAGTGGGCTTTGGGTTACCTCACTTCCCACTAAGTGTGGTCAACCCAACCCACTTGGCCTTAGGTTACCTCACTTCCCAAAGTGAGGCCAACCCAACCTATGGCCAACCCAACCTTTCCCCTTCAAGCTTCTCATCCAACCTGAGTATGCTTGTTCCTCCTCTAATCAACTTATTGGTTCAACTTTAAGCTTTCACAGCAATCCGGGCTGTGAGTCGTGTCGTGACTCACTAGTCCTCACCAGGTCATGGCAGGCTTGCACTGCAATGGCAAGGAGGTGCGTCACGTCCCTCTGGTGCGGCTGCAATCAACGGATGGGATGCAAGCAAGGCCAGCAATGGACGGATGGGATGAGAAGGATAGTTGGAAACGGACAGATGCACAGTTAGCAAGGAGAAACAGCTGGAAAAGGGCTGACTAAGGAAAACATAATGCCAACGAAAACACTTACCATTTAGAAAAAAAGGGGTGGTGGGATCTCAACAAAGGCAGGAGGGCAGGAAAGGCATACCATGAGGTAGCGCTGCAGGAAGGGGTAGAAGTTGAGGAGGAGCAGTCGGTGTGTGCCTATGACCCGTGATACCACGTTCAGCATCAACAGCTTCACCTGCAGTGAGGCAGCAAAGGGAGAAGGATGGCAGGAGCGGTAGTACGGGGAGACAGGCATGAGAGTAATTTGGGTGGACTCGGAACAGGGGAGCAGTCGGTGTGTGCCTATGACCCGTGATACCACGTTCAGCATCAACAGCTTCACCTGCAGGCAAAGAGGTTGTACGAAGAGACAAGTGAAGATGAGCTGAAGGGAAGTGAAGATGAGCTGAAGGGAAGTGAAGATGAGCTGAAGGGAAGTGACGATGAGCTGAAGGGAAGTGAAGATGAGCTGAAGGGAAGTGAAAACCCAACCCCCCATGAAACCCCCTCCACTCGTCTCTCAAACCCCCTTCGAGCACCACTCTCTCGCACCCACCTCAAGTGTAGACGTTTCAGAGCTGGTCTATCCCTCACACGCACCTCAAACTTCTCGTTGCACTTGGACACGCGGCTGAAGAGCTTCTCGGCAAAGCCCTGCAGAGATGGGGGAGGAGAGGAGAGTGGGAGCTTGACACGCAGCATGGGCAGCGCAGCAAAGTGCATGTTCCCATCATTCTCCCTCACGCCCTTTCCCTTCCGTCCTCTTCCTCCCACCGTCCCGATATGAATACCCAGTATGAATCGAATCAAATCACCTCCCACCCACCTGCGGGTCATGCAGCAAGTGCAGAGCAGCAAAGTGCATGTTCCCATCGCCCTCCCCTGTGCTCTCCCCCCCTCCGCCCATCACAGCCCGCTGCTGCTTCCGCAGTCCCTTCATCACTCGCTTCAGCTTCGCCTGCTTCTTGCGCTTGCTGGCTGGTGTTCCCTTGTGGTACGCCTGATAAGAGTAAGGGAGAGGAAGGAGGGAGGGACGAGGGAAAAAATGGCAGTGGAGGAAAAAAAAAGCGACGCGTGCTTTGAGATACTGCTTCAGTCTGCCTGCAACAATCAAGCAACGCATTACACACTGGGTGGCCATCAAGCAAGCCAAGCCACCAGGCACACTCACCGTGTAGACCGTTTTCCTGTCCAGCGCAAGAGCAGCATTCTCCTTACTCCTGTTCTTCTTCTCCTCCTCGTCCTCCTCCTCCTCGCTGCTCCCCTCCTCCCCCTCACCCTGCCGGTCCGCCCCCAGAAAGAACTTGAGCGCCCCCACCATGATGCGTGTGCATGGGTGCAGGCAGGCCATCACAATCATGCCTCTTACCCACCTTCCTACCTCACCCACCCACCCATACACCCACCGTGTAGACCGTTTTCCTGTCCAGCGCAAGAGCAGCATTCTCCTTACTCCTGTTCTTCTTCTCCTCCTCGTCCTCCTCCTCCTCGCTGCTCCCCTCCTCCCCCTCACCCTGCCGGTCCGCCCCCAGAAAGAACTTGAGCGCCCCCACCATGATGCGTGTGCATGGGTGCAGGCAGGCCGTGGCGATCACATTCACGGTGCGCGCATCGGTCCAAACTTTCCGGCGGTAGAGTTCAATCAGGACTGCCAGAGATTTCTTGGCTGCCATCTCGTTCTCTTCCTGGTGTGGGTGTGTTAAATGTTGGGAGAGGGAGGGAGAGGCTTGAGAGAGTTGAAAGCCCCCAGGAGGAACTTGAGTGCGCCCACCATGATGCGCCCACCATGATGCGCCCACCATGATGCGCCCACCATGATGCGCCCACCATGATGCGCCCACCATGATGCGCCCACCATGATGCGCCCACCATGATGCGCCCACCATGATGCGCCCACCATGATGCGCCCACCATGATGCGCCCACCATGATGCGCCCACCATGATGCGCCCACCATGATGCGCCCACCATGATGCGCCCACCATGATGCGCCCACCATGATGCGCCCACCATGATGCGCCCACCATGATGCGCCCACCATGATGCGCCCACCATGATGCGCCCACCATGATGCGCCCACCATGATGCGCCCACCATGATGCGCCCACCATGATGCGCCCACCATGATGCGCCCACCATGATGCGCCCACCATGATGCGCCCACCATGATGCGCCCACCATGATGCGCCCACCATGATGCGCCCATCATGATGCGCCCATCATGATGCGCCCGGGGCTTTCAACTCTCATGCGCCCACCATGATGCGTGTGCATGGGTGCTGGCACGCTGTCACTTGAGTGCACGGGTGCTGGCACGCTGTCACTTGAGTGCACGGGTGCTGGCACGCTGTCACTTGAGTGCACGGGTGCTGGCACGCTGTCACTTGAGTGCACGGGTGCTGGCACGCTGTCACTTGAGTGCACGGGTGCTGGCATGCTGTCGCGATGACGTTCACGGTGCGCGCATCCGTCCACACCACACCTTGCGCCATTCTCCTTGTGTTGAAACGGGGGGTGCATAGTCAGCAGCATCAGCCCACAAGCCGTGCATGGCTTGAAAGAGGGCACGGCACGGTACGCACATCAGCCCACACCTTGCGACGGCACAGCTATATCACCACTGCCAGGGACTTTTTGGCTGCCATCTCGTTTTACGAGCAACACGTGTCCTCTCCCTGAACAAGAGAAAAGAGCATGTTTTGGATGGGCCTGTTGACTCCCTCGTGGCGGTGCTTCTGGTTCAGGCATCTTATGTCGTTGACTTTTGAGACGTCTTATGTCGTTGACTTTTGAGACGTCTCAAATGTCGTTGACGATATGCGAGAACACCACCAGCTTGCGCAGCGCAGTGCCTTGTCCCACCCACTTGCATCACTTGTCGTTCACATCACACTATGAACTACAAGAGACAGCATCTGGACCAGTGAGAAGAGAGAAGAACCCGTACCTGCACAAGGGAGAAGAGCCCGTACCTGCACAAGGGAGAAGAGCATGTTCTGGATGGGGCGGTTGACACCTTCATGTCTGTGCTTCTGGTTGAGGCGGCGAATGTCGTTGACGATGTGAGAGAACACCAGCTTGCGCAGGGCCTTGTCAGGGCAGCGGAAGAGACGGAAGAAGTGCGGAATGAGGTCCGTGGGACCCAATAGCTGGGAAGCGGTTGAACAGGAGAGGGGGAGAAGAAGGAGAACGGGAGGAATGGGGTTGTTTGTTTGTGGGGAGGTGGCACAGTGGTTATATAACAGAACGAAGAGGGGAAGGAAGAGGTTGTTGTGGTTAGGAGAAGGAAGAGGGGAAGGTGAGAGAGGCTGATGTGGCGCAACATGAAGTCCGTTTCATACAACAGAATGAGGGGAGCTATGGTTGCCGTTTTAGAATTACTATAGCCGGCTTTTGAGTTGACTCAAAAGTCAACCATAGCCATGTCACTTCTGACTGTTCCCGAAGGTGACATACAACCGGGACACAGGTCATATACAATGCCAATGCCCAATCAATTGGGGAAGATTTTGCTCCTCGAAGAACACGCACCTGGCGGTTCCGCAGGAGGATGAGCGCGTGTGCCAGCTGGCGGCGCAGCATTGGGTGAAGCACATCCACGTGGGACTGCAGCAGCCCCATCACCTCGCCTGGGAAGCCCCCCATCGTGCTGCGATAAAAAGGCGCGAGCTGGAAGACGGAGGGGGGGGGGAGGAGGGGAGGAAGAGGAGAACTGGTTGAGATGGGAAGGTATCCTCCCCACGTCCACGTGGGACTGCCGCAGCCCCATCACCTCCCCGGGGAACCCCCCCATGGTGCTGCGGTAGAAGGGAGCGAGCTGCGGAGGGGAACAGGGAGCGAAGTGGGGGAGCAGAGGAGGGGATGGGGCGGACAGAAAGTGTAGATGTGCTTTTGAGAAGGCGGAGAAATTGCGTCTGTGGGTGAAAAAAATAGCTCCAGCCCAGAGGTGTGGGGCTTTGGGGTTGGGGGTTTCGAGTCACAGGATTCAGATGGCAGTTTGGGCTATACAGCGGCTGAACTGTAATAGGACCATCTCAGGCAGGTAGTTATCACCTTTTCAATTTAAAACCCACCCACCAACATTGCTCTATCGCCACTGCTGGAGAAAACCCTCTCGGAAACCCTAAACCTGACCTGAGATCCTCCATGCACTTAACATTCACTCCATCAAGCCCCATACGCGCCACTCCATCCATTCATCGTTAGTCTTACACGCGCTTCCTAAAACCCTCGAGCCCAGAACCCCCAACGCCTTATGTCCGTTGTAGCTACAAGCCCTAATTTCCGTATCAGCCTCATCTCTGTCAAAAGCAGCGCAGAACGGACAGCACGGCGCGGGGCAGCTACGTAACCGTCGCTGGCTGGCGCTTAAAGCGCACCTGCGCGAGGAACATGACGAGGTCGCCGAACTCCTTGCTCTCCGCGTGGGGCTTTAACGAGAACACGGCGAGCAGCGCGCGGTAGTGCCGGTGCTGTCGCTCGAACTCCTCGCGGTACCCCTCCGGATCGCGCTTCGCCTGCCCCTGCAGGAGGAGCAGATCGCCCAGCGCCGCGGATGCCGCCGCCGCCGCCATTGGCGCGCACTAAGGGGACGCGAGGGGGCGCGAAAACGGCGGGTGGAAAGGGAACGTAGCGAGGCGACCAGGAAGCGGTGCTTCGTTGCTGTTCCGTGCGACGATGAGGAGCGAACGCTTAGGAATTCTGCTGCAGTCTCGCGAAAGACTTTCTGAGAAGGCGTTAGTTGACACCACCCTAACCTCAAATGGGAGGACTGACGTTTTGTGCATACTCAATATTGCCGGACTCGTGTAAAGAAATCTGATGGCGAGCAATTTTCATGCCATATATGAAGTGTATGTCTATCGTCATTTTTGCCCTAAATGCGCTGTGCCTTTAAATTCTGCCATCCCACTATATTAATTTCCCAAATCAGCGTGCACATTGTCTACACAGTGTTATTACATCATAACTTTGGGCCACAAAATGCAGTGGCCACACAGGGAGCCCTCCCTGCTGATCCCAAACAGGCATAACAAACGTACGTCCACATGTCCTCCTATAATCTCAACCCCTTGTAGCCTGATGCATACAGTACACACAGATGCAGACGAAGGAGGGTAGGGATCAGAGAGAACGGGGTCGGATGGTTTCAAGAGAAAGTTGAAGGGCACACCAGCACACAGTGCACAAAGAAGGTGAACACTGCAGGCAGCACAGAATGAAACATCACCAGCGCTTTCACCATCACATACGAAGGGCAGGAGATTCGGTGTCAAGTCGAGTTCAACTCGCATACCAAGTCACACAAAAACTGCAGCAGCACTTACACATTCGCCCTAGCTGCCCGTTTAACTTAATCAGGGTGAACCCCTCACGAGGAGGGCGGGGGCACTCCTGCCGAGATCCACTGTTGGTAACGCCGTAACCGCCTGGCCGCTCGGTGCGAGCGCTCGGCCAATCCCTGCGTGCCAGCTGTCCCCTGGGCCTTGTGCAGCAGCGCAGGTGCCTGAGATGCGCTCCTGGGTCGACGGTGCTTCTTGTGGCGGAACAGGTAGTCCTCTGTGTCTAACACATACGACACCTGGGGGGGGGGGGGGGGTACAGATGTTAAGGGGGGAGAGGCAGTCGACTCAAAACTCGCCCTGTGGGTGCCTGAGATGCGCTCCTGGGTCGACGGTGCTTCTTGTGGCGGAAGAGGTAGTCCTCTGTGTCTAACACATACGACACCTGGGGGGGGGGGGTACAGATGTTAAGGGGGGAGAGGCAGTCGACTCAAAACTCGCCCTGTGGGTGCCTGAGATGCACTCCTGGGTCGGAGGTGCTTCTTGTGGCGGAACAGGTAGTCCTCTGTGTCCAACACATACGACACCTGGATGGGGGGGAGTACAGATGTAAAGGAGGGTGGAGAGGAGGGCTAATATTTGAGTCGCCTTACAAGTCAACTTGTGTGGCAGCACTGGTGCCTGAGATCCAATCCTGAGTCAGCGGTGCTTCTTGTGGCGGAACAGGTAGACCTCCGTGTCTAACACATAGGACACCTGGATGGGGGGGAGTACAGATGTAAAGGAGGGTGGAGAGGAGGGCTAATATTTGAGTCGCCTTACAAGTCGACTTGTGTGGCAGCACTGGTGCCTGAGATCCAATCCTGAGTCAGCGGTGCTTCTTGTGGCGGAACAGGTAGTCCTCTGTGTCTAACACAAAGGACACCTGAGTGGTGAGGAGTGGGGAGGAGAGGGGATGCAAGGAGAAGAAGAATTGGTTATGGGAAAAGCGGCCGGGGCAAAAACTCCACTGCCTGGGTGTGTGGCGAGGTAGTCCTCCGTGTCTAGCACATAGGACACCTGGGTGGAGACGCGGGTAATGCAAAGAGGAGAGGAGCGGGTCACATGAGAGTGGTCAGGCATACATGATATGACACCTCAAAAGTGAGACAATCTAATGAGGCGCCTCAACGTAGGGTAGTGGGGCAGTGAATGTCAAGGACTCTGCCGGAATTTTCTAAGGCGAGAGAGGAGGGGGAGAAGCAGAAGCTGGGCTTTGGCGGGGTTACCTTGGAGGTGACACAGGAGAGCTTGCACTCAAGGCCATTCACTATAAGCACACTCTCTAGGGCAGCCCTCTCCTCGTCCTCCTTGCTGCGGCTCCTCTTCCCTGCTGCTGCAGAAGAGGTAGACAATGATGCCTTCCTTACGTTCCTGAAGACACATATTGGAAGCCACACAAACACATCGCACCGCATTAGCATGGCGACACTTGAGGCAGCAATGACAAAAGGGTGCGGGCGTAGAAGTGCGGCCATGAAAGCGCGGGCATGAGAGTTGGGCCACAAAAGTAGGGCCATGAAAGTGCGGGCATGAGAGTTGGGGAGGAGGGCAAGGGGGCAACCACGCCTGGCAAGAAAGACACGGCCGCGTGCAGGCGTGTGCGAGGGCGGGGAGTGCAGGACGGCAGACTCCATGACTGCTGCGGGCACCTCACCCCAACAAGCACATACCTGGCGAGAAAAACTTGGTCGCGGGACGGCGCATGGGAGGGCGGCGAGTGCAGGAAGTGCTAGAGGTAGTGCAGGAAGTGCTAGAGGTAGTGCAGGAAGTGCTAGAGGTAGTGCAGGAAGTGCTAGAGGTAGTGCAGGAAGTGCTAGAGGTAGTGCAGGAAGTGCTAGAGGTAGTGCAGGAAGTGCTAGAGGTAGTGCAGGAAGTGCTAGATGTGAGAAGAAAAGGTAGAAGAGAAGTTGATGGATTGATTGAAAGGATGGGGGGTTTACATAGGAGATGAGTTGGAAACTAGCCTAGGTGAACATTATTGGACCCCAACCAAGGAGTTGGGTTGGGAGATTATTGGTGGGGTCCAATAATGTTGGCCAAGTTGGAGTTGGGCCAACATTATTGGAGGGGACCAATAATTCTACCCATCCCAACCCTTGGGGTCCAATAATTGGACCAAGGTTGGGTTTCCAACCTACAAATTGGGTAACCCCTGCTTGTACACCCAAACTAAGTTTGGGTGCTTATCTCTAGCCTATCCTATAGCATATATGCAGGTTACAAGAGAGGAGATATTCTAACACTAGAGGTAGTGCAGGAAGTGCTAGAGGTAGTGCAGGAAGTGCTAGAGGTAGTGCAGGAAGTGCTAGAGGTAGTGCAGGAAGTGCTAGAGGTAGTGCAGGAAGTGCTAGAGGTAGTGCAGGAAGTGCTAGAGGTAGTGCAGGAAGTGCTAGAGGTAGTGCAGGAAGTGCTAGAGGTAGTGCAGGAAGTGCTAGAGGTAGTGCAGGAAGTGCTAGAGGTAGTGCAGGAAGTGCTAGAGGTAGTGCAGGAAGTGCTAGAGGTAGTGCAGGAAGTGCTAGAGGTAGTGCAGGAAGTGCTAGAGGTAGTGCAGGAAGTGCTAGAGGTAGTGCAGGAAGTGCTAGAGGTAGTGCAGGAAGTGCTAGAGGTAGTGCAGGAAGTGCTAGAGGTAGTGCAGGAAGTGCTAGAGGTAGTGCAGGAAGTGCTAGAGGTAGTGCAGGAAGTGCTAGAGGTAGTGCAGGAAGTGCTAGAGGTAGTGCAGGAAGTGCTAGATGTGAGAAGAAAAGGTAGAAGAGAAGTTGATGGATTGATTGAAAGGATGGGGGGTTTACATAGGAGATGAGTTGGAAACTAGCCTAGGTGAACATTATTGGACCCCAACCAAGGAGTTGGGTTGGGAGATTATTGGTGGGGTCCAATAATGTTGGCCAAGTTGGAGTTGGGCCAACATTATTGGAGGGGACCAATAATTCTACCCATCCCAACCCTTGGGGTCCAATAATTGGACCAAGGTTGGGTTTCCAACCTACAAATTGGGTAACCCCTGCTTGTACACCCAAACTAAGTTTGGGTGCTTATCTCTAGCCTATCCTATAGCATATATGCAGGTTACAAGAGAGGAGATATTCTAACACTAGAGGTAGTGCAGGAAGTGCTAGAGGTAGTGCAGGAAGTGCTAGAGGTAGTGCAGGAAGTGCTAGAGGTAGTGCAGGAAGTGCTAGAGGTAGTGCAGGAAGTGCTAGAGGTAGTGCAGGAAGTGCTAGAGGTAGTGCAGGAAGTGCTAGAGGTAGTGCAGGAAGTGCTAGAGGTAGTGCAGGAAGTGCTAGAGGTAGTGCAGGAAGTGCTAGAGGTAGTGCAGGAAGTGCTAGAGGTAGTGCAGGAAGTGCTAGAGGTAGTGCAGGAAGTGCTAGAGGTAGTGCAGGAAGTGCTAGAGGTAGTGCAGGAAGTGCTAGAGGTAGTGCAGGAAGTGCTAGAGGTAGTGCAGGAAGTGCTAGAGGTAGTGCAGGAAGTGCTAGAGGTAGTGCAGGAAGTGCTAGAGGTAGTGCAGGAAGTGCTAGAGGTAGTGCAGGAAGTGCTAGAGGTAGTGCAGGAAGGCGGACTCCATGGCACCGCAGGTTGTGGCGCAGACACACAACTTACCCAGCTCCCAAGGACAAGAGAAGAGAAAAGCCCTACCTGGCCAGGAACACATGTCCACGTGTGGGCGCGTGGGAGGGCGGTGAGTGCAGGAAGTGCCAGAGGTAGTGCAGGAAGGCGGACTCCATGGCTGCTGCCGGCACCACAGGGGACACTCACAAGTCCCAACCCAGGGCAAACGAGGACACGGGACAAGATGGAGAGAGAAAACCAGATACCTGGCAAGGAAGACGTGCCCTCGAGCAGGAGCATGCGAGGGCGGCGAGTGCAGGAAGTGCCAGAGGTAGTGCAGGAAGGCGGACTCCATGGCTGCTGCCGGCACCTCCACCTTCTCAGGCCCGCCCTCCATCAGCTGCACCGTCATCTCGCCCTCTCCTGGTTGCTGTGCTAGCTGCAGAGAGGTATAATGCAGTAAGGGGGGGGGGGGGGGGGGGGGGGGGGGGGGGGGGGGGAGGGGGGAGTGAGGGTAAGGGAGGGAGGGGGTGCTGCAGCCGGCACCTCCACCTTCTCCGGCCCGCCCTCCATCAGCTGCACCGTCATCTCGCCCTCACCTGGTTGCTTTTTGAGAATTCTCAAAAAACCGTCATCTCGCCCTCACCTGGTTGTTGGGCCAACTGCAGGGGCACAAGGGAAGTCCGGGGATCAAGTGTGTTCGTTGGAGGATGTATGCATGCCCACGCATGCATCATCCTCCAACAGACGCGTGCGTGACCACACGCAATGGCCTAGTACATCAAGTCCACATAGCCATGCGCCTCCTGGCCTTGCATCACATCACCCTCACACTGCCCTTCCCTCACTCACCAGCTCGATCCCTGATGCCAACGGGTGAGCGACGACTCAACAGATCCTATAGAGCGAGTCGTGACTTTTGAGTCAACTCAAAAGTCACCTCCTTCCCTCACTCACCAGCTCAATCCCTGATGCCAACGGGTGAGCGACGACTCAACAGATCCTATAGAGCGAGTCGTGACTTTTGAGTCAACTCAAAAGTCACCTCCTTCCCTCACTCACCAGCTCAATCCCTGATGCCAACGGGTGAGCGACGACTCAACAGATCCTATAGAGCGAGTCGTCGTGCATGAGTGCACACCCGTTGGCCTGGGAGACCAGCTGCACATAGCCACGTGGCGGCCTTCTAACACCCATCCCTCACATACAAGAACAGTGATGCCCCTCCTTCACTCACCAGCTCGATCCTATAGAGCGAGTCGTCGTGCATGAGAGCACACGCGTTGGCCTGGTAGACCAGGTCCACATAGCCCCGAGCCCCCTTGGCCACCTCGTAGTCATGCAGCTGCTGCAGCTTCGCCCTCACTTCGTCCCCTGCACATGCCTGTAGCTGTTGGGGAAGGAGTTGGGGGGGGGGGGGAGAGACGATGACATGAGCAAACGATCCAGCAAATCATGCACACACGGGGTGCCGATGGGAAGATGGTGATGTGAGAGTGGCATGGGAGAGTGACATGAGATGCAGCCGTCCAGCAACTCACCTGCTTGAGTTGACTTTTGAGTCGACTCAAAAGTCAACTCGGTATAATGTCACACGATGGGAAGATGGTGATGTGAGAGTGGCATGGGAGAGTGACATGAGATGCAGCCGTCCAGCAACTCACCTGCTTGACAAGGCGGTAGACGAGCTTCTTGATGGTAGAAGAACACGTAGGACTGGGCGCCGATGGGAAGATAGATGTGAGATTGAAATGTGAGATCGACAAGAGACAGAGGCAGGCGGCAGGGCAGCACACTTGGTTGACATAGCTCACAGACTCACCTGCTTCACAAGGCGGTAGATGAGCTAGTTGATGGTGAAGAGGATGGGGGACTGGGCGCCGTTGGAGAAATGGGACACGTGCGAGTGATATGGTATGTGATATAGAGAGTGACGTGAGAGAGATTGTGACATGGGATGGACACAGGCAGCAGTCTCACCTGCTTGACGAGGCGGAAGATGAGCTTGTCGATGGTGAAGAGCACATAGGACTGGGTGCCGATGGGAAGAGAGTGACGTGAGTGAGAGCGAGATGCAATATCAACGAGTGACAAGAGAAAAGGATATGCGGCAGCTCACCTGCTTGACGAGGCGGTAGATGAGCTTGTCAATGGTGAAGAGCACGTAGGACTGGGTGCCGATGGCAGCACGGCATTCGTCCTCAAACCGCGTGTTGTCAATCTGCCCATCCAGCAAATTGTACAGCACCTCCAGGAACCTGCGCGGACAAGGGGGAGAAGTCAAGAAAGTCAACAAGTTGAAAACATGAAACGTTAGAGAGTGCGGCATTGCAGTCTGCCCGGCTCTACCCGTCCAGCAGGTTGTACAGCACCTCCAGGAACCTGCAGGGTCAGTGGGTGCAGTAAGGAGAGCCAGGCACGTCAACAGCTAATGCAAGCGCCGCACATCAAGTGCCCTTCTCTGCCCGTCCAGCAGGTTGTACAGCACCTCCAGGAACCTGCTCGGGTAATGGGAGCAGTCAAGCAAGTCAACAGTTGGTGAAGTGAAGAAAGTCAGGTAAGCCAGATTTAGAATGTGCCCTGCCCTGTTCAGTGAAGAGTCGGGCCTCAGATACAACCAAGAAATGGAGTCAGGGGGTGGGGTGGATTCACAGAGGCAGCTGCAGACGGCAAGCAGACACAAGTCAGCAGCCTCAGGCAAGCTTCAGAAAGCCCATGTTCTTTGTACGTGATGGCACACTCGCTTGGCGTAGAGGTCGGGCGGGTCGGAGTGGTTGAGTGTACGGTACTTCTCCAAATCTTTGTGATGTGTGAATATCAATAGCGGCACTCAGTGCAGAGACACTAGCATGACGGCACACTCACTTAGCGTAGAGGTCGTCGGGCGGGTCGGAGTGGTTGAGCGCACGGTACTTCTCCAATCTTTGTGACGTGTGAAACTCAAGGGTTCGAGAGGTGCAGAGACGCTTGCTTGGTGCAGAGACACTCACTTGGCATAGAGGTCAGGCGGGTCGGAGTGGTTAAGTGCACGGTACTTCTCCTCTGATGCCCGCGCATTCACCTTAGCACTCAGAATGCGCTCGTACAGCGTCTGGTGGTGGAGAGGGGCGCAGAAAGGGGGTGAGGGAGAGAGGCACAGGAACAGGTGGTGAGATGATGAAAGACGGAATGTGACAGGTCGATTTGCAGCCACACTGCCATCAATGCCTCCACAATTCGACTGGGAGACTGTGGCTGGAAAGATTCCAGCGTCTCTTCTACCAACTTTTGATCAAGTGGAGTGGGCTAAAGCTGTGACTGCAAAATATAAGACATGGTATATTTTGCAGTCACACCCTTAACTCACTCCACTCGATCAAAGCTGGTAGAAGAGACGCTGAAATCTTTCCAGCCACAGTCTCCCAGTCGGACGGAATGTGACAGGTCGATTGCAGCCACGGAATTTACTAACACCTATCCTTCAAGCCACACAGTCATCTTGTGCAACAAGCACAACTATACATACTACTCAACATGGGATGACTCGCTTTTACTGACATGGTGTAACCTGAAGAGCATGTACGTGCTGTCGTTGCCATACATCAATCTACGCACCGTACAAAGTGACGCGCTTTGACTCACATGGTGTAGTCTAAACAGCATCTACATGGTGATTCGCTTGCTATCACTCACATGGTGGAGTCTGAACAGCATGTACATGCTGTCGTTGCCATACATCACTCTGCTCGCCCCTGCCTCCGCCTGTGCTCTTCCCCACAGCTCCTCAGACAACTCCCTCTCCCGCTCCCTCTCCCTCTCCTTCTCCCTCTCCTCCTTCTCCTCCCTCTCCCGGCCCTCCTTGGCCTCCTCGTCTCCCCCCACCTCTGCTCGCCCCTTCCCCTTCCTTCCCCTCCCTCCCTCTCCCACCCCACCAACGCCATTCTCTCCCCTCCTCCCATTCCCACTATCCCCCCCTCTGCGCCCCACACCCTCGCCTGCAGCAGCAGGAAGCAGCAGAGGCACACCAGCTGGTGGTGCTATACCACTAGCTGGTGGTATACCACCAGATCCCAAACGAGCTGCTTCAAACGAATCCCTATGGGCCACCACAGGCCGGCACGCCTTGTACCAATGCTTTCCCCACTTCTTCCCGCCCTTGTGCCTCCTCTCCTTAGGTCCCAGACCCGATATCCACCCCCTCGCCCCCTCCTCCTCCTCTTCCTCGTCCTCCTCCTCATCTCCTGCCCCACCCTCCTCCCCCATCTCCCCTCCGCTTTCCCTGTCCTCTGCTTCCTCCTCCTCTTCCTCCTCTCCTCTCCCCTCCTCGTCCTCACGCCCCTCACTCTCCCTCCTCCTCCGCCTCTGCCTCCTCCTCTCATCGCCCCCGCTATCAGACTCATCAGCACTAGATCCCTCCGACCTCACACCCTCATCCTCCCCTTCTTCCCTATCCCTCCTCCCTCTCTTCCTCCTCTTTGCAGCAGCAGCAGCAGCGGCAGCGGCGGCGTGAACTAGCATCTTTGCCTTTCCCTGCTGCTCCCCCCGGCGCTGCCCCATTCACCATCCCCCCCGCCCCTGCTCCTCCCCCATTGACCCCCCCCCCCCCCACGTGCACCAAGCTGCTTCTGCTCTTCCTCACCACATGAGGCTCTTCTTCCTCTCCCCCTCCCCCTCCCCCTCCTGCTCCCTCTGACGCCTTTCCCCCAGGATTGAATTCACCCTCTTCCAGCCCATCCCACCCCGCTTCCCTACCCGCCGATCTCTGCCCCTCACTAGCACCACCCGCCCCATCACCCTCACTCTCATGCCTCCCTCTCTTCCTCTGGCCCTCTGCCTCCCCCCCTTGCCTCTCCCGCTTCCTCTCCTCCCCTCTCCCTTTATCTCTACTCTTCTCTCTCCCCTCCCCCTCCCTCTCTCCCCCACCAGCCTCTCCATTCCCCTCCCCCTCTCGCCCTCCCCCTGCCCCACCCCGGGCAGCTCTCGCAGCTTCTCGGGCAGCACTTTCTGCGTCCCGGGCAGCTTTCTCCTCCGCGACAACTTTCGACCAGACCGCGGGCACATTCAAAAACATCTCAATAAAACCCGTCCACAGCTTCATAACCCTAGCAGACTGCTCAGGCGAGCTGCACACTTCCTCTGTGGAGAATTTAATGATTTCGTGGAGATCCTCGTGGATGGCAGCGTCGTTGTATGCCATCCGCACGTCCGGGATGAGCGGGCGGCGTGTGGGAACAGCTAGTGCTGTCACCACCTCGTCCTGCTTGTGCTTCTGCTCGTTCAGCTCCCGAATTTCAGACAGCAGACCTGTGTGAGGGGGAGGGGGGGGGGGGAGGAGGGAGGAGGAGGGGGGGGGGGGGGGGGGGGTTGAATGAAAGGGGGGTGTGGGAACAGCTAGTGCTGCTGCCACCTCGTCCAGCTTGTGCTTCTGCTCGTTGAGCTCCCAAATCCCCGACAGCAGACCTGTGGGGGAGGGGGGGGAGGTAAATGAAAGGAATGTGAGAGCGACAGGGAGCCCAAGAGAGGGACATTGGTTGTTGGACCTCTATTGCGTGTTCACCAATCCTTCCATCCATACAAACCCCTCCCTCCGCCCCCCGCACGCACCTTTCATGCTGAGGCTCTTCTTGTCCTGCTGTTTGAAGTAGAAGCTGCGGTGGTCCAGCGACTTGGCGTAGTTCTTGGCGTACACGTCCGCCCACACGCGGTTCATCTCCACGCGGCAACGCACCCACTCCTCCTGCTTCTGCTTCAGCCGCTGCAGCACCACCGGCAGCGCCACCGCTGGCGTGCGCTTCACCAGCTCTTGGATGTCCAGCCCGTGGTCGCCGTATATGCGCTCGATGCACCGCATGTTGATGGCTGTGAGATTCTCCTCCACTCTAAAGCCACTCCTCTCAGCGTCGGTCATGCCGTGCATGCGGTCAATCACCTCCTGCACTCGCCGTGCCGTCACTGCAGTCGACTCCAGCAGCATGTCCAGCTCGAAACTGGGCGAGGGCGATGGAGAGAGAGGGAGGAAATGGAAGAGAATGGAGAGCACACGTTGCAAGTCTTGCCTAGATATCTTTTGAGTCGACTCAAAAGTCAGAATGTAGAACACACGTTGCAAGTCTTGCCTAGATATTGCCATCAAGCAGACTCAAGAAGCAAATCTAGGTTGGAACTTGGAAGCACACAGCGGTTGGCACGATGGAACGCATCGGTCTTTCTCGCAGCGGAAGAACGACTCCTCATACTGGTTCTTGCGCATGTGCGTGAAGGAGTAGTGTGGACAGGTGGCGGGAGGCATGACATAGGTGGGGACGGGTGGAGACGGGTGCGAACGGGTGTGCAAGGGTGGGCATGGGTGGAAATGGGTGGAAATGGGTGGCACTCACCGGTCGTCTTCGCAGCGGAAGAGCGACTCCTCGTACTGATTCTTGCGCATGTGCGTGAACGAGTAGTCCTCACTGCCTGACGTCACCGACACCCACACATCGTTCAGAACCTTCATTCCCAGCTCCGTGCGATGGCACGACACGGGGCGCATTTGCTGCAGGAAGGATGGGAAGAAAGAGGGGAAGGGGAAGGGAAAGAGGGAGGGAGAGAAAGAAGGAGAGGCATCCACACGCTGTTGAGCCATTCATTCAATGCTCCGTGCCATGGCATGGCAACACACGGGGGGCGTCACATTTGTGTGAGAAGGAAAGGACTGATTTTGGGAGGAGGGAATACCCTGGAAATCAGCGTCCAGCTTCACAGATTCGACGCATCACAAAGCTCAACAACTCACCGATTTTGGGAGGAGGTGGTAGCTCGGGGAGCAGCGCTCAGCCGCAGACAGATCCATTTCACAGATGGACTTATACTGCTCTTGCTCCTTTCGAGTTGCCAAAAAAAAAAGAAGGGAAGGGATCTGAGCGGAGAGAGAGAAAGAGGGGACTCACCGATTTTGGGAGGAGGCGGTAGCTCGGGGAGCAGCGCTCAGCCGCAGACAGATCCATTTCACAGATGGACTTATACTGCACTAGCTCCTTCCTCACAGCAGCTGACTTGGCTGCTGCTGCCGCCGCCGCCGCCGCTGCTGCTGCTGCTCGCTCTTTCTCCTTCTCCCTCTCCTTCGCTTCTCGCTCCCGCTCCCTCGCCTCCCTCTCCCTCTCCTTCTCCCTCTCCCGCTCTCTCTCCCGTTCCCGCTCTCTCTCCCGTTCCCGCTCCCGCTCCCGCTCCTCCCTCTCCCTCTCCTTGATCCGCTCCTTCTCCTCCCTCTCCCTCTCTTCCCTCTCCCTCTCCTCCCTCTCCCGCTCCTCTACCTCCTTCTCCACATGCCCATGGTCCTTCCCTCGCTCCCTCTCTCTCTCCTTCTTCCTCACTCCCTCCTTCTCGCGTTCCCCCACCTCCTTCCTCTCCCTTTCCTTTGTCTCCGCTCTATCATGCTCCCTCTCCTTCTCTCCACCCTCCTTCCGCTCCTCCTCCTCCACCTTCACCCCTGGCCCTCCTCCTGCTGACTCCAAAGTCTCAAAGTCTGAAAACAAAAGTGTGAACACCAGCAAACGCATACGCACAACGGACAAAACAGTATGAATTTGCATGCGCATGTAGATTTATACGTATGATTATGCTAAATCAGATCAGCGTAAGGAAGACTACGCTATGCATGCGGTGTGCCTCAGAAAAAACCTCCCCAGTACCACGCGAAGATGCACCTAGGTTTTCACATCGAGCGAGGAACTCGTGAAAAGCCCTCCTCCAGGTCGGGGTGGTTGGCGAGGATGTCCCCCACGAGGCTCTGCAGCTCGGGTCTGGGTCACCCAGATACCACCCTAACACTATGAGAGACTAACAACTCACCTAGGTTTTCGCATCTAGCCAGGAACTCGTTGAATCCTTCGACCAGGTCGGGGTGCTTGGCAAGAATGTCCCCCACAAGGCTCTGCAGCTCGGCGCGGGCGATGATCTCCTGCGAGAAGATGTTGAGGCACTTGAGGAACTCCTGATACACCTCCCTGCTGCGCACCCTCGCCTTCACCCGCTCGAAAAACGCCAACTCCCTGTGCATACCCAGGGCTGCATGGGATGAGGAAAGAGGTCAGGGGGAAGAAGGCGAGAGAGATAGAAAAGCGGGGGGGAGGAGACCTTTTGAGTGAACAGGCGCCTTCACCCGCTCGAAAAACGCCAACTCCCTGTGCATACCCAGGGCTGGGCGGGGGGGGAGGGGGGGGAGGAGAAGGGGTGCAAGGGGAGGGGGTTGGAACTCAACGGTTGCTGGCTCAACAGTTGCTGGCTCACAGTTGCCTTCTCCTGCACCAGCAGCAGCAGAGTCACATAAAAACCCAGAAATTCTGTTGCATTCACCCCTACCAGCGCCACTCACCCCTGCTCCCTTTCCTGTCGTCCACTCCTGCACCCTCCACCGCCGCTCCCCCAGGCTCCTTTTTCTTCCCCCCCTCCTCCCCCTTCCGCCCCTTCCGCTTCGGCCCCTGCTGCGCCTGCTGCGGCGGCTGCACCACCGCATGCGCCGCTCCCTCCCGCTCCTCCTGCTGCTGCTGCTTCTGCTGCTGCCCCCACTCCCCATGCCCCTCCTTCCCAGCCCCATCCACCTGCATCGGCTGCGGCTGCTGCAGCTGCGGCGGCACCAGCCCAACCCGTTTCTCCTCTAGATGCATCTCTGCCTCCCTCGGGGGCTTCTGCAGGTCCAGCATCAGAGGCTGCTTCCTGTGCGTGCCCTCCTCCCCAGCCTGCTGCAATCCCCCGCCTAAACCCGCTGCTGGGTGCGCCTGGTGCAGATGGGGATGAGAAGCATCCACATGCAGCTGCGGCTGCCGCTTCTGATGGTGTGCTGATGCGTCCTCCTCTACCTCCTCCTTCACCTTCCCTCGGGCCTCCGCGTCTTTCTCCTTGCCCCGCCCCTCCGCCCCCTTCCTCCTCCTCTCTGGGTGGTCCCCGTCTTTCTCCCTCTGCACGTCAGCCATCAAAGGAATCAAGGAACACAGGACGCAGTCTGTAGCGACAGGACGGCTGGATGGTGTGTAGCTGGAAGGGAACTAGGTGAGAATCGCCACGCACCAACAGAAGCAGTCACAGATCGCACACAGAATGCAATAACAGATAAGAAGAACAGCGAAGATCCTAAGACCCGCAGCCTGCCAAGCACACACACCTTGCCCTTCTCTGGCCGGCCACCAGCCGCTGCTCCAGCAGCTGTAGCAGCAACAGCAGCACCAGGTGCAGCGCCAGCTGTAGCAGCAGCTGCAGCACCCGGCCGCGCTCCCGGTACAGCCGTCACCCCTGACGCTCCTGATGCGCCTGCTGCTGCCCCTGCAGCAGCACCAGCAGCAGCACTACCGCCAGCAGCAGTGGTTCCAGGAGGGGGCGGGCCCACCCCACGCCACTGGGGTAAGTGACTGGCAGCAGAGTCCGGCAGGAAGAAGGTGAACTCCTCTAGCAGGTCCGAGTGGTCCTTGAAGAGCGTGGCCACCTGGTGTGTGAGTGGGTGGTGCATGTGGGGGAGTTTGAGAGCCATGGGGAGGTCGTTTGAGTTGACTGATGCATGATCAGAAGCAACAGAGTTTGGCAGGAGGAAGATGGAAGAAGGTGAACTCCTCTAGCAGGTTCGTGTGGTCATTGGAAGGTGCAGTGCAGCCACCTGATGTGAATGGGTGCACTTGTGCGGGGAAAGACAGATGAAGGGATCTGTGCTGACTCGACCGATGCATGGCCGGCAGCAGGAGTCCGGCAGGAGGAGGAGTTGGCAGATCGCACCAGCACATCCAGCATATGAACAGAGGCAACGCAACGACACAAGCAAGAAAGCAAGCATCGAGAGCAAGAATGGGACAGACTGACAGACTGACCTCCTTATAGACGTCACCAATGTTGTTGTTGCCCTTGCGGTACATGTTGAGGATCTCCAGAAAGCTCTTGTACACTGACTCATCGTCTGCAAAGCGCGCCTGGGGAGGGCGAGTCAGACAGAAAAGCGCACAGGTAGGACAAGACAATGAGCTCAGCACCCTAACGTGGGTTATCCGATTCAGCTAAAAGCTCTTGAAGTCCGACTCACATTATAGGCAGAGGGCCAGCGAAGCGAGCAAGTTTAATTTGACATGCAACCATCGACGCGCAAAACGAGGTGCAGAGGCACAGCACAAAAACGGAAGGCAGTATGCCATACTGGCGTTGCTGGCGTGGTCAACTCTTTCCTTGTCAGCAGTCACTGGTGTTGGCGCAGGCGTTGCTGCGCTGCACTGTACCTACCTTGATTTTATTGACATAGCTGATTGCCTGGTCAAACTCCACCATCTTGGTGACTTTTGAGTTAGCTCAGAACACTCACCTTGCACTGCGCTGTGCGTACCTTGATCTTGTTGACATAGCTGATTGCCTGGTCAAACTCCACCATCTTGGTGACTTTTAAGTTCGCTCAGAACACTCACCTTGCACTGCGCTGCACTGTACTTACCTTGATCTTATTGACATAGCTGATTGCCTGGTCAAACTCCACCATCTTGCTCCGAGCAGCCGGCGCAGCAGCCGCACCCGCTGCTCCTCCTGCTCCTCCTGCTGCCACTGCAGGCCCAGCCGCAGTAGCACCAGCAGGAGCACCAGCACCTGCACCACCGGGAGTACCAGCGACACTAGGAACACCAGCAGCAGCTGCACCACCAGGCGCAGCAGCAGCGGCAGGTGCACCTCCCCCAGCATGACCTGCACCAGGAGCAACCACTGCAGCAGCTGCTCCCACTCCTGCTCCTGCTCCTGCTCCTGTTCCTCCTGCGCCTGCTCCCACTGGCGCTACAGGAAGGGGCGGAGTGCGTGTGGCTGCTACAGCCCCACTACCAGCACCCCCATGCGGCACTGCCAATGGTGCATGGGGAGCTGTACTGGTTGCTCCAGGCCCAAGAGGAGTCCCACCAGCAGGAGCGACCGGCATGGGCACTGCAGGTCCAGATGGGGTAATGGGCGGCCGAGCCACCGCAGGAGGCGCGGACCGAGGCTGGGGAGGAGGTGCGGGCGCGGGGGCGGGGACTGGAGTTGTGGGCTCGGGTGGAAGGGTGATTTCGTAGCCCTTGGGCAGAAAAGTGTTGAAGCCGAGAATGAGCTGCCTGTGCCCCACAAAGAGCTCTTTCACACGCGCTATCACTCCTGCTGTGTCGATCCTGGCACATGGGAAGCAAGAGATGGAAAGAACGAAAAAGTGTGAGAATAGGGGCAGGGACAGCTTGAAGGGAGGTGGAGAGAGGAGCAAGGACAGACGAAAGCACGAATAAGAGAGAGAAAAGAAAAGAAACGCGGACAAAGGAGAAGAGAGATATTACAATCATGTGATTTATTAAGGGCATGCAATGGTGTAACGGACTTGCCAGTGCGAGACTCACAGCTGTGCCTTAAAATTCTTCATGACATCGAGGAACTCGTCGTATTTGTCCTTCTCATCTCGAAACCGTTCCTTCACAGCCTTCAAATACGCCAACGCGTCATTTGTTGTCAGTTTACCGCCCTGCTGCTGCTGCTGTTGCTGCTGTTGTTGCTGTTGCTGCTGTTGCTGTTGCTGTTGCTGTTGCTGTTGCTGTTGCTGCTGCTGCTGTTGTTGCTGTTGCTGTTGCTGTTGCTGTTGTTGTTGCTGGTGCTGCGGCGGCGGCTGCTGCTGATGATGTTGCTGCTGCTGCTGCTGCTGCTGCTGCTGCTGCGGATGATGCTGCTGCGGCTGCTGCGCTACAGGAACGGGATGCTGTGCACCTGTCTGTACTGCATGCACTGCTTGTTGCGCCGGCTGCTGTGGTTTCAGCTGTCTCTGCTGCCCCATACCCGGCTGCTGCATCAACACACCTTGCTGCTGCACCGGCTTCTGCCCGTGCGCTGCTGCCTGCTGCTGTCCCATCAGCACCTGCTGCTGGGCGGGAATCTGCCCTAAGGGCCTCGGATGCTGCTGCTGATGCTGTTGATGCTTCTGCGCTGCGACTCCCGCCTGCTGTTGATGCTGCTGCTGCAACTGCGGCGGCTGCTGCGGCTGCATGAGTCCCGAAGGCGTGTGCTGCTGCTGTTGCTGTTGCTGCTGCTGAGCCATCATCAGCTGCTGCCGTGGCGCCAACGCTGGGGACTGCTGCACCTGCCGCTGTTGCTGGTGCATGGGCTGGCCTGGGTGCATCCCTTGCTGTTGGAGCGCGTGAGGTGGGACCTGCTGGTGCAACGGCTGTTGCCGCCGCTGATCCTGTGGCTGCTGCTGCTGCTGCTGCCGCTGCAGCAACTGCGCCTGTAGCTGCGGCTGCATCTGCTGCGCCATGGGCTGCATCTGCGGCGGACCCTGCTGCTTTGGCTGCATGGACTGCGCTGCGTGCTCCAGATGCTTCTGCTGCTTATGCTGCTGCTGCGACAACGGCTGCTGCTTCGGCATATGCTGAGGCTGGGACAGAGGACCCTGCTGCTGCGGCTGGGTGAGCAGCGTCTGCTGCTGTCGTTGCACTGCCCTCTGCTGCGCCTGCACGGGAGGCTGTGCGGACTGCTGCAGATGCCGCTGCTGCAGGAGATGAGGGGGGATTCCGTGCTGAGCCGAGGCTGGATGAGCCCCTAATGCTTGAGTCAATGGGATCTGTTGGGAAGGGCCGAGGTGCTTCGGCGGCTGCTGCGAGCCGGTAAGCAGGGTGGGTGGTGGTTGTGATAAGGGAGGGCCCTGGGGATGCTGGGGATGGGGTGGGTACTGTTGCTGGTGGGACTGGTCCGGCTGCAGGTGTTGATTCGGATTCTGCATCGCTGTTGCCTTTTACAAGAAGGTTGAGGGGTGTTGGGAGTCAGGACTCCTCCGAACTTCTCCAGTACGCTCTCTGACCTGAGAAGAGAAGAAAAGAAAATTCAGGCAAGAGAGACAACAAAATGACGACTTGAAATCATTCGAAACGAGATACAAGCAAAAAGACAAGAAAAGGGGAAAACCTACAGATCTCAGCACCCCAAGTCAAATGATGTCATCGTCGTTACAAAAAGGCGGAAATTAAATAAGCATGACAGAATCAAATAAGATCTATCAGGTTTCCACGCGAAAGCAAAGACGAAAGCTGATTAATGAATCTCGAGAACACTTCAACAGTCCCTTTCACCTATGAAAGGCAAAAAACGGCAGGATGGGTAGTCGCACTAATCGAATACCGTTGGTACTTATTGACAACAATTCCTCTTTCTGTAGTAAGAATGCACGAGACGAGATGTTGAGGACGCCATGCAACTTACAATCCCGCGAGTCACAAGTAAAGCTTATAGTCAAGGACAAGGTCGACGGTGATGAAGATCCAGAAAACTATCCAGAAGTAAGGACCTCTCCATGTTCACCATCGGAAGGGTTTCGTAGAAATGGGGATGACAGCGAGAGTTTGGCAGGTTGACTGGATGGGTGGGAGACCAGCAAACAGAGCCAGAGAAATGAAGGAATAGGCGATGGGTAGGGAGAATATGAGGATGCAACGATGGTCGAAAACGACCAACGAAGAGAAAATGGAGCCGAGCAAATCGCGAAAAGCGGGCAGCTGGGCTCCTTTGGTGGTTATTTACCCTCGATGGCTATTTTTTTTGTTCGATTTCATTCACACTAAAAAGCGCTGTGACATTTGTTTTACATAGTGTCTGGCTAGTGGTCCTATGCGGAACTGTAGCACAGCCACGGAACAATTTGAACAAGGATGTTTTCCTCAAAATTGCAGGGCCACGGACCCCAGCCCAGACCCCAGCCAGGAGGTGCAGAGCAGAGCAGAGAACCAGCCTCGGGATCACCCATTTGTTTGACGTTTTCCCTCGGACCTCGCCTTGGGATTGGTTGGAGGCGGGAGCCATCACAAATGTGGCTGGCCTCTGCCCCGCTTTCCCGCGGAACACCCGCTTCCGAGCCACCTCCCCTCGCCCGTCTGCACAAAACCTCGGAGTCCCCCCACCAGGCCGACATTGGCTTTCTACCAAACCTCCAATCACCAGGGGGTCTCCTCCGCCTTTTTGCACGATGGCCCAGAAACTCACGCGCGAATTCCAACACAGCTCCTGCACAAAGCTCCGCTCAGTGTACAGCATCATTTTGCGCGGAACCTGGGAGATTGGCAAACTCTGCAGCAGTTTCTGCCAGATTTCCGCCTCGTTTCCACTCATTCACCGCAACAAACCCATTTCCATTTCCAGAGTTCCAACCAAGGGAAAGGGTGAAGTTGACGCTTTTGTTCCTGTTCATCATTCCTGCTAGTCACTTGTAACTCAGAAAATGCATGCATCTTTAGTATCTGACCGCATTCTGTTTTGACTTGGCAATCTAGTGGCTTTTGTTCGAGCCGTGTCCATGGATTTCGACCTGGTTTGTACCCTTGTAAGCACGTCCAGTCTCGTTGACGAGCTCACCACGATCAAATGGAAACGTCAGCAGGTAAGATATAGAACCAATATAGCATCGTCAATACCTTATATGTGCGGTCACTGACGACGTTACTTACAGAACTTTCTCCTCAAATCTAAATTGCAGGAAGCGGTTGTTGAGATGTCCGAGACGGGTCTTGTGGTCGTAGCAGAGGAGCTTAATTGCCTGCACGCACGTGCTTTTTTCAGGAAAGAGGTCGGAATTCGTCATCTGAACCATTGATACCCTTCTGTAGGACGGTCAAATAAGGTTATTCTATAATATATTCTCGCCTTTGTTTATGTGCTCGTGCAGCTCTTCATGGACTACGTTTATCGACCAGACGTCCGTTATCGGTTCGGCATCAATTTGTCTCTTTTAATTGACTGCTTATCAGCGTTCTCTGCGTCAGCTACCACAGGACATGTTTTAACCTTGCGGTATCCAGGGCCTGATAATCAACTCCTGCTCAAGTGAGGCTTACCTTACAGCAGCTGTGACGTGCATTCCAGTGGATACGTTTCTTATCGTGATTGTGAGGGCCTTTCTTCTGCCTGTGTGGTGGGGGATTTGCAATCAGGCGTCTTCAGGCTTTCGGATCCATCCAATAGCAACAGCAGCATTGGAGCGGAGATTCGTACTCTGCTTCCTGATATGAACCCGCCTGAATGGGCGCTGGATGTTGACACATCGACTCCACAAAACGCACCTGTCAGCTTTGCAATTCGGGTGAGTTTTATACCGCAGCATCTCCTTGCTTTTTCAAAAAATTCCTCTTTTTCATTTGCGACTGATAATGGTTTCCGTTGTGTTTTTCCCAGTCTAGCGTTCTTAAGGAGTTGATTGAAGATTTGGAATGGCCTGGTGCCAGTGTTCGAATTTCCATCAGCCCTCAGCCAGCAGGAGTGACGTTTTTGGCACAAGGCCATGGTGACTTACAGGTCAGCAAGTTGGGGTGATTGATGGACGCCACACTGACATAGCCACTTTTCTTTTTGGCTGTGCTATTTTCTAATACATGACGTTTTGGCATCGCAACGTCTTGTTTCTTCTCAGGTTGACCTCCTTGTTGGGCGGTGCAACAACCTCTTTGTTGACTTCAAATGTCACCGTCCCATTTCATTCTTGTAAGCAATTACTTTCTGGTTTTTGTTCTCTCAATTGTAGCAAGCTCTGAACATCCCTTTCCTCCCTGTGCAGGTATCGCTACAAGCATCTCAGTGCAGCAACTGCTAGCATTCCTGCTGCTGTTTTGAAGGAAAACCATGCGAGCAAACTGACAATCGACCGTCATGGCCTCTTGAGAGTGCAGCATGTTGTGAACATGCGAGCCACTGGGCCTGGTGGAAGAAATGCTAATGATGCCCCAGATGGATTCGGTGTGGGCAGTCTTCCTGCCTTTTCTCAGCCAACTCAGGATGGGGCAAGGAGCCAAACTCAGCAGAATAGGAGTGCAAGGACATCATTTGTAGAGTTCTTTGTTGCTCCACAGGAGGAGGATTTTGAAGTGGATGAGGCTTAGTTTACCAAAGCCATACGTTTTTTAAAGTGTAGCATTGTTTTTTAGATTCACATTGGCTGACGTGGCTCCACCAGGCAGCATCTCATCAAAGCGTGGCTGTTATTGGCTCCCGCAACGCTGGCACATTGTCACGTCAACGTCATCTCCCCAACAAAGTCCGCCCTGCTGGTCAGATTTCACACACTCCACTCGTACACTTTCAACTCCCTCCACACCTCATTCTGCCCTGCATTTCCAGGGCTGAGGGTTTCTCTTTCCGCATTTCCCTGCCATCAACTTCGTTGACCAGAGCGATCTGTTGCATCCCTCCTTCCTCCATGGCGACTGCGACTGCTCGCTCGTTGGTCTGCGCGCATTTCACCGCCGCGCAACTCTCCCCTGCAGAGGGAGAGTCGTCCTCTCTGAAGGCTTTCGCCAAGTCCGTGAAGTCCAACGGCCTCTCTGCGGTCCCTCACAGCCGCAAGTCTGTCGCTAACCGTCGCAGGACCTGTGCGAATGGGAGCAGCAGTCGCAGAAGACAGCCAGTGATGGCGGCAGCGGGCGACGGTGCGACGAAGAAGTGTCGTATCACGCTGCTGCCGGGCGACGGCATCGGCCCCGAGATCATGGCAGTGGCTGTGAAGCTGCTCAAGTCTCTCGGCGAACTGGAAGGCATCACCTTCGAGTTCAAGGAGGCGCTGGTCGGAGGTGCGGCGATCGACGAATTCGGCGTGCCTCTGCCCGAGTCAACTCTCGCCACGTGCCGCGACAGCGACGCCGTTCTGCTCGCTGCCATTGGAGGGTGGGGGGAGCCGCGAATAGCCAACCGTTCGCTTGTATAAGTAGAAGGTTATCAATGCAGGAACACCAGTCCTCACTGTGCTCACCCTCCCGACTCGTGCATGCCTCCCTTTTCCTATTTCCGCCCCCACCACTCCCAACTCTCTTCCAGTAACACCCCCTGCATTGCCCGAATGTCCCACGCTCGCTCCGCAGGTACAAGTGGGACACCCTGCCCGCAGATCTTCGCCCTGAGCGCGGGCTGCTGGGACTGCGCGCGGGGCTCGGCGCTTTCGCAAATCTGCGCCCCGCCACCGTCTTCCCCCAGGTGCGGCGGCATTTCCTGGTCACGGTCTCGGGCTAGTCGCATTTCACGCTTAGCGTTTTAGGCCTTAGAAGGCTGCAGTCAAAAACAGACTGGTAGGTGTAAGTCGCATCGCATGCTTTGCACTTGCACGCAAAGTTAAGATGGTATACTCGCTGTGTACTCGCTGCGTACTCGCTGCGTACTCGCTGTGTACTCGCTGTGTACTCGCTGCGTACTCGCTGTGTACTCGCGTAGCCTGCCATTGGCATGCTAGTAACAGGCTGATGGTCTAGTCGTGATCTGGCGCTCGAAATGCGGGCCTGTAGTCTGGTGGGATTCGTGGAATCGTGGACGATACACTGACGTAGGTAGGTCTTTCTGCATCGCCAGGCGCAACTAGCTTAGCTTCTCCTCGATCCTGCATCATGGTGTGCCCCGCTGCTTGGCATGCCCCGTCACCCTGGTTCCCCACATTCGCCATCCATTTCCCCTCATTTCTTCTCCACGACCCCGCAGTTGATCGATGCGTCGTCGTTGAAGCGCGAGGTGGTGGAGGGGGTAGACATCATGGTGGTGCGCGAACTGACGGGCGGTGAGTCGTTGTGGTGCGAGAACTGACGTGGTGTGGCGCAAAGGAATTGAAAATGAGGTGAATGAAGTGGAAGTGAGGCGAAGGAATTGGAGAAGAGATAGTAGAGGAGGTTGACACCATGGTGTGCACGAACTGACGGGCGGTGAGTCATGTGTGAGGCGAATGGAATGGAAGTGAGCGAAGGAATTGGAAGTGAGGTGAAGAAAATGGAGTGGGGCGAAGGAAATGGAAGTGAGGTGAAGGGAGTGGAAGTAAATTGAAGGAAATGGAAGTGGGGGGAATGAAATGAAACTGAGGTGAGGAAATGCAAGTGAATCAAAAGAAGGGGATGCGAGGGTAAGCAAAGGCGATCATTCTAGGCTAACCAGTAAGGCTGTGGTGTTTGTGCATGTAATGTGGCGGTTGAGTTTCATTTTCAGAAATTGGTGTTACACCCCACCGTTCCCTTCACGTCTTTGCTTGCTGCTTGCATCATGCTGCAGGAATCTACTTTGGAGAGCCCAAGGGATTCGGACATGATGCAGAGGGCAACAGGACAGGCTTCAACACCATGATCTACTCTGTTCCTGAGGTATGTTTCCCCCGGAATTTCTTGAAAATTTTCCTCCTCCCTTCTCCTGCCACCCGGTCCCAGTCCCCTTCCAGCTATGTCTGTCCTCCACGCACCCCTCATGCTTCCCCATTTCTTCATTGCACTTCCGTCCACCCCACCCTCTACCCCTTTCCCCACCCACCCCTCTCCCAAACCACTTGAACCGTCCCCCAAATTTCTCCAGAACTTCACTCCCCCCTTCCCCATCCCCCCCTTCCCCATCCCCCCCTTCCTCATCCCCCCCTTCCCCATCCCCCCCTTCCCCGATTCTCCCATTTTTCTCCCCCGTCCCCTGGCCTGCCAGATCGACCGTATTGCACGGGTGGGGTTTGAGGCGGCGCGCAAGCGCAGCGGGCGGCTGTGCTCGGTGGAGAAGTCGAATGTGCTGGAGGTGTCGCAGCTGTGGCGCGAGCGTGTCACCGCCATCGGGGCGGAGGAGTACCCAGATGTGGAGCTGTCGCACATGTATGTGGACAACGCCGCCATGCAGCTCATCCGCAACCCACGCCAGTTTGACACCATCGTCACGGGCAACATCTTTGGGGATATCCTGTCAGACGAGGCGTCCATGCTGACGGGATCCATTGGCATGCTGCCCTCCGCCAGCATTGGCTCTGATGTGAGTCTCCTTGGGGTGGGAGAGGGGAAGGAAGAAGGAGAGGGGGGGAGGGGGTTTTCAGTTTGACACCATCGTCACGGGCAACATCTTTGGGGATATTCTGTCCGACGAGGCGTCCATGCTCACTGGCTCGATCGGCATGCTGCCCTCCGCCAGCATTGGCTCTGAAGTGAGTCAGTGAGGGGGAAGAGAGGGGTTGTTGGGGAAGGTGGTGGGGAGGGGAGTTGCTGGCATAACAGAATGATTTGGCACGGTACTTCCTTGCAAAAGGTCCCTTTGTACGACTGCCAAACAGATACTTCCACCCTCCCTATTCCGCTCCCCAGTCTCGCAATCCAAATCGTCTCTGTGCTCTTCTCCTCTTTCCCCCTCCTCTCTGCCCACTCGCCCACCACTCCCCAGGGACTAGGCATCTATGAGCCAGTGCATGGGTCGGCACCGGACATCGCAGGGTAGGACAATGCAAAACCTATTTCTGAGGTGCCTCAAGAAAGACTCCCATCTCCCCACTCTTCCACAACTCCCTACTCTTCCACTCCACCACTCCCCAGGGCCCAGGCATCTATGAGCCAGTGCATGGGTCGGCACCGGACATTGCAGGGCAGGACAAGGCGAACCCGATGGCCCAGGTGCTCTCTGCTGCCATGATGTTGCGTTATGGGCTCAACCTGCCACGTGGCGCTGATCTATTGGAGGCTGCTGTCATGAGTACCCTGGAGGCGGGGTACAGGACTGGCGACATTGCATCTCCTGGCACTGTGAGTTTGTGTAGCTTGTTTTTCTCACTACTTCCTTGGAGTTTACACTTCTCCAACTGCTTACGGGGTCACAGCTCATCGTATGTCAAGATTTTGTGTCTTGAGCACTGCATTACTTGCCAAGCCTCACTGCTCGCTCTCCGTGGCATGTTTGTTCATCTTGCAGGAAGTGGTGGGGTGCAGCAAGATGAGTGAAGTGCTTTTTGAGAAGTTGTATGAGGCTCATGCCAAGCTCAGCTAGAAGCCAGTGGCGGGATAAACAACTAGGTTGCAACATACATAGATTTTTTTTGTACGATGTAATGTTTTGGTCGCCTGACTGACTGCAAGCAGCTGCAACTTCAGATTGAGTTGGAGCCTGCATGCGAGCTGGAAGGGCGAAGAATTTTTCTTGAAGTTAGCATGGTGGATCATTGGCTTAGATGTAACACTGCGATGCGAGGTCCAATGTGATGACTTCGCCGCTTCGCAGATTCGCGGAGATAACTCATCTGACCCCCACCCTCCATCCACTTCCGCACCAGCGCAACCCTGGACCTGCACATTTTCGCTGCAGCTCGTACTTCGCCGCAGCCACCACACCGCTCGTCAGCATTTCGTCAGCGCCAGGGCACCACCAACTCTGCGCGTTCCAACATTTCCGCCACCCATTCGTCCCTAACGCTCACTCCTCTCAACCGAGGCCTCAACTCCCTCGCTTCTGCTGGTTGGTTGGCAGGGCAAGTCCCTGGTGGCTGATGGTTGCTGGCCGATGCCCCCCTGTGCGTTGCAAGTTGGCTTCGTTTGACTCGACGACACGCGTCGATCGACTCCAAGACAAGGCCCCACTTGCCTCTCCTCACCTCATTGCTCACTCACATCCTTCGCCTCTCCTCGCCTCATTTCCTCTCCGCAGCGCGTCGCAGGCCTCATGCGAGCAACCGGTGTCATCGCACGGCCAGTCGCACCCGTCGCACTCGCAGATTGTCGTCGTCGCCCACCGTCTATACCCTGCACTGCAGCCTTCAGCGTGAACCGTCGCCTCCCCAACCGCATACGACTAGACCGCTCGTCACGCCCTTTCGCTGTTCGCTCGCCTTCGCAACCCACTCCCGCCATAATTAAGACTAGTCCGCCCTTATCATTGCCCCTCTTCACGTTCATCATCCCATCCCGCAAATTCTCTCCTGCCGATCCTTCCGCTCTGTTTCGCAAAGTCTGCGACAATCTCTGCCGCTCAATTGCTGCAGAGTCTGCAATTATTCCTGTCGCAACCGTCTCGCGAGTCGTCGCCAGCTGGTCGGCCCCAGCACGCCCTATCGCGACGCCTCCTGGTGGGATTGCCTCATCGTCTGCCGCAGGCGAATTTGTCACCGCCACCACCGCCACTGCCGTTGGAGCCTCCGCCGCAGTTGCTGTCGCCGCTGCCGCTATCGCCGCTGCCGCTGTCGCAGCAGCAACAGCCTTCGTTCTGGTCATCTGCTGCTCACCCGCGCTCGCCGCTACCGCTCCCGCCGCGCCTTCTCGGGAGACCGACCTTCTTCACGTCACAGCGTTTCCAATTCCGCTCTCTACAGCCTCGGCCATACCCCTCGACACAACATTATCCATACCTCTCACTAAAGTCACCCAGGCTCCTCCGCTCGATACAGCGTCGGCAATGAGCGGCAGCGGCGTGGAATGGGAGGTGCTGGTGCCGTCTGTGGTGGGGGTGACACCTACTAGCGCTCTCCTCGCCGCCACCGCCGCTGCAGGCGCGCTGGGACTCGGCTTCGCGCTTTTCATCGCTGTGGGGTGAGTTTGTAGGGGCACATGTGTGGTAACTCTACTGTGGTAAGGTTACCACATGAGTGGGGTTGCCTGTTTGCGCAGCGATTGCGCTCGTAGCAGATACAGCAAGCGCACCGAGCGGCAGCGGCATGGAGTGGGCGGAGCTGGTGCCGTCGCTGGTGGGGGTGACTCTCGCTAGCGCCCTCATTGCCACCACCGCCGCTGCAGGCGCGCTTGGACTGGGGTTTGTTCTGTTCATCGCTGTGGGGTGGGTGGTTACTTATTGTAGGCGTACCGATTGTGGTAGCCTGTTTGCGCAGTACACACGGTAATGGCGCTTACATGCACTGCAGGCGCGCTGGGACTCGGCTTCGTGCTGAGGTTGCTCATTCACGTAGGGTTACTCAACGATTGGGTTTCTTTGTCATGGAATGATATGGCATCAAATGGGATGGCACGGCACGGGATGGGTTGCTTTACCAAACTTTGCTGTCCCTGCACAATCACGACCCCTGTGCATTGGGTTGGGTGCAGGGTGCTGTTCCAACCACGGTGGATTATCACCTGGGTGCGGCAGAACCAGCCACATGTACTCTTCGAACACGTCACCAAAGGTACACGTCAGCAGAGGTACACGTCAGCAGAGGCACACTTCAGCAGAGGTACATGTCACCAAAGGTACACTTCAGCAATGGTACATGTCACTAAGAACACCCGGCATCACCTCCTTCCCTCTCCCTGTCTTCCGTTACTACCATGCATGATGCACCCCATCCCTCCACTCCATCCATTATTCATCCATCCTCCTTATCCCTCCCTCCCTTTTCTGTTGACCAATCAGATCGTCTGGTTGCTCTGACAATCGATGATGGGCCGAACGGAGACACGACCCACGAGGTATGATGTTTTTGTTGACTAGAGTGACAACACAATGCTGAATGGTGCGCGCCTATCTTGGAACTTTTCATAAAACGCTTGGAGGATTTGGCGTGTATTGAAAAATATGAATACTAATAATAGTGACTATTTAAGAATGTTTCAGGATCACTGTTGCATGGCCACACTGCTCTTGGTCCTGACTCCACTTCCCCTTTTTCCCCCACCGCTCATGCCACGGGTGCACAACCAACTTACTATCCTTTCCCTCCTTCCTCCCTTCTCCTTTCTCCTGCCCCCGCCGCCCTTCCCTCCCCAACGGGCCAACGCACCTCTCCTTCCATGGATTTGCAGCTCCTGGATATTCTCAAGGAGCACGGGTGCACGGCCACGTTTTTCGTGATTGGATCAAACATTGACAGATATCCCGGCATAGTGGATCGCATGCACGCTGAAGGTAGGTAACATGCCATGCACTACTGGAAAAGGGTCGCTGCAGAGTCTACTCAGAATTTGCCTGACTAGATCCAACATCGACCGATACCCTGGAACAAGGAACCTGGAACGAGGTGGCTATAGAGTCGACTGCGAACTTACCTGATTGGATCCAAGTTCCAACGTTGACCGATACCCCGGCATTGTGGATCGCATGCATGCTGAAGGTACGTAATCGGCAGTCGTGTGGCATTGGAACGATGTTACTATAAAGTCAAATCCACAGAGTTGACTTTTGAGTCGACTCAAAAGTCAACTCGGCAGTCGTGTGGCATTGGAACGATGTTACTATAAAGTTAAATCCACAGAGTTGACTTTTGAGTCGACTCAAAAGTCAACTCGGCAGTTGTGTGGCATTGGAACGATGTTACTATAAAGTTAAATCCACAGAGTTGACTTTTGAGTCGACTCAAAAGTCAACTCGGCAGTCGTGTGGCATTGGAACGATGTTACTTCAATATCCAACTTTGATAGGACAGATACCCCGGCATGTTCATCCTCCCATCTGTGTACCGCTGTCTCCCTCTCCCCACTCCCCATCAGGTCACGAGGTGGGCAACCACATGACAGCGGACGAACCCAGCTGCCTCTCTCCACACCCCCTACCATTGGTTATCTGTTTCCCTACGCCTCTCCCCCTCACTCTCCCTCTCCCCCCACCCGTCAGGTCACGAGGTGGGCAACCACATGACAGCGGACGAACCCAGCTGGCGTCTGTCTGCCCACGAGTTTGAGTCGTCACTTCTGGCGGTGGATGCCAAGCTGCACCGCTACTTCCGCAGGGATCCCGGAGGCAACCCTGTCAAGTGGTTCAGACCGGTCAGTTAATGCCTGTCAAGTTGCCCTGCTTGCTGCCTGTCAGCCCGCAAGTTTGAGTTGTTGCGCGCTGCTGGCAGTGCATGCCAAGCTCCACCACTACTTCCGGAGACATCCCGGAGGCAACCCTGTCAAGTGGTTCAGACCGGTCAGTTAATGCCTGTCAAGTTGCCCTGCTTGGTGCCTGTCAGCTCGCAAGTTTGAGTTGTTGCGCGCTGCTGGCAGTGCATGCCAAGCTCCACCACTACTTCTGGAGAGATTCTGGAGGCAACCCTGTCAAGTGGTTCAGACCGGTCAGTCAAGTGGTTAAGACCGGTTCGGACCGGTCAGTTGGGCCTGTCAAGTTTGCGATATTGCCCTGCTACTTCCACACTGACGCCCCTTGCAACCATGCAGTCTAAATCAAGTGGTTCCCACTGGTGGACTCACCAGACGATTTTTGAGGCGCCTCAAAAGTCGCTCCGTGCAACCATGCAGTCTAAATCAAGTGGTTCCCACTGGTGGACTCACCAGGTGAACTCTCGAGAACGTAGCACTGGTCATTCAAAGCGCTTCACCCGATCAGTCAAGTTGCCTTGGCTCAGGCGCACAGCCATGTGCAGCGCTACAGCTGCCATGTGCGTTGCGTCCCAAACACACATCTCGCCTCCACACGTCCTCCGGTTGAGCCCCTCTCTCCTCATCCTCCCCTCAGGGCCACAGGTGGTACACCAAGCGGATGTGGCAGCAGGCGCAGAGGCACACGGGCCATGCACCTCCCTTTTCCCCTCTTCCCCTCCTTATCTCGTTTTCTACCCCCCTCAGGGCCATGGATGGTACACCAAGCGGATGCACCACTACGCGCAGCGGCACAGCTCCCATGTGCTTCCTTCACACCCATCTCGCCTCCACCACTCTGCTTCTTCACCACCCCTTCCTCCTTGCTTCCCTCCCACACAGGGCCACGGGTGGTACACCAAGCGAATGCGGCAGCAGGCGCAGAGGCATGGATACAACGTGGCTCTGGGCTCCGTGTTTCCCATGGACCCGCTCTTCAAGGACAGCAGTCGCCCTCTCGCTGCCTACTGTCTCTCGAAGGTATGTCTACCGGGTGTGTGTGTGAGGCGGGTTAGCAAGCACGGATACAATGTGGCTCTGGGCTCCATGTTTCCAATGGATCCGCTCTCTTCAAGGACAGCAGTCGCCCTCTTGCTGCCTACTGCTTGGCGACGGTACAGTACGGCTATGGGTGTGTGGGGTGGGGGACCACGGGTGCATGTACCTGTGGCTCTAGGCTCTGTTTCCCATGGACCCGCTCTTCAAGTACAGCAGTCGCCCTCTTGCTGCCTACCGCTGGTGGAAGGTACTACCACGAGGGCTGTTGGAGATGCTGTTTACTGCTGTGTGTTTCTCATGGATCCATCATTCCCACCATCCCCATCGCTTCATCCCTCCCCTTGGCGCTTATCAACCTGCACGACCGCGTGAAATGAGTCGTGTTTTGAGTCGACTCAAAACACGACCACCATCCCCACCTCTTCATCCCTCCCTTTGGCGCCATCATCATCTTGCACGACCGCCCACAGCAAAGCACCCCTTCAAATTACTTCCCTTGCGTTCCCTTCCAACTTGTCTGCAGGCAGGTGTGCCCAGGTGCTATTATCATCCTGCATGACCGTCCCCAGCGGGGCACCCTTAAGACGCCCTGAGCGAAGCACCCCCTCCTTCCCTTTCCCTACACGCAGGTGTACCCAGGTGCTATTATCATCCTGCATGACCGTCCTCAGCAGGGCACACAAACCGTTGAGGTGAGGCCGTTGGCGTCCTGTTTCTAGTTTTTTTTCTTTCTTTCTTTGTTTAGAGGTGAAGCTCTTAGGCCTCTTGCCACTGCTTTTCCTTTCGACTGCTTTTTATGGCTCATCAAATTATATATACTTTGAGGCTTCATCCTTCATTATTCCTGTTTCTTTGCAGATTCTGCGGATGATGCTGCCAGAGCTGCGACGGCAGGGGTATCAGGTGGTCTCGCTCTCGCACCTCGTTAAAGGGCTCCACTCCCACCCCTCCTCGCCTCACTCCCACACCGCCTCCCCTCTTCAATCTCTACTCTCCACTCTTCCCGCAGCCCCCTCTTCTTCAGATCCCCCACCTGCCAATCATGCATCTCTCTCTTCTCCCCTCTCTGGCGCTCCGTCTGTAGAGGAATCAGGGGTACGCAGAAAAAGGGAGTAGCACGAATTTGTGAAAGTAATTGTAACTGACGGTTATATTTAACGCAAGGTTCCTCAGACGTCATCTCTGTTTGATAGGGGCGCAGAGGTTTCACAATTGATCTGTCAACCTTGGTACAGGATTCTTGAATCATATTTCTGTCAACACTCCTGGTTACCTTCAAACGAGAATCACACTTGAAAATGAGAATTGAGTGGGTAGGCGCGTGCTTGTAACAAGGAGGCTGGTAGGATGACATAATCTTTTCTGCTTCTATGGAGGGGACTTCGACCCGAGGCCGTTGCGTTGCGTTGTGTCACCAGAAATGATACACAGCGACGGGCAAGACCGAACCGCGCACCCTTTTTCGCCAGGCGTGCGAAGGGCGACGCGAAATTCGATAGTACAGTACGTACTGTACCGTAGACTGCCTCACGCCCGACTTGAACCACGCATACGGACGAACGGACGGACCGATGCTGCTCTGGTGAAGGGGGAACCGATTTCGAGGGCCCAAAATTCAAGAGGAAACACCACGGCACAATAAATCACACCAGACAACCGCGTAAGAATCCGCTATAACGTATTTCACCGCATTGTTTTCCTTCCCTCCTCAAAGCCGAGTTGACTGGTCATTTGTTGACCTAAGGCAGTCATATCAGTCAGCAACACCTCCTACATATCTCCACACAATGAATATGTTCATATCTCCAGTCCATATACCTAGTTAATTTTCCCATCTACCATCCACTCGAATCTCCGCGATGCAAATTGCAATTGAAAGCAGCCTCTTATTTGTCGTCTCTAATGTAGACAGTCGTCGCTGCTGCTGGTGACTGAAACGCAGGCATGCGATACATGTGGCGACGAGGCGAGCCTGTTGTCAGTTCACCAGCACCCCCTTCCTTGGGAACCCTGTTTCGGCTTTAGTACCTGCGACTTGTGACTCTAAACGGGGCGATTCGATCCCGTATATATATGCAGCGGCAAGCAGCACTAATCTTCATCTCATCGCTCGTTCGTTGCTCCGCCAATTCACCCTCCGTCAACTCACCACCGATCGCACAAGTCGCTCAACCGTTGCCCAGTAAGGACCTCTCAACTCAACTAATAGACCAAGGCTAGATGGTAGCACCGTCGCTTCTATTCACTATTCACCGTAAGCAAATCTCTAGCTGGGATCTTGTACTCAGGTCTCACAGGAATTATTTGCTCTTCCTTCCCACTGGCTCCTCGCCTGCTCTAGGCGGCGACGAGTTAGAAGAGACTCTATAGTATCCGATCCGTATGGCAGGTTCCTCCCCCGGGATCGGCGCATCGGTATCCCTATTAGCTACAGTGCTCTCGATCCTCCTGCTTCTCGCTCTCGCTGCTCCTGTTAACCCAGCCGTCCAGGGCGCTACAAGCGGCGACGTCATTAGAAACCAAGTCTTTAATAGCCAGGCTGCAACAGCTCCTTCGAGCCTTAGATGGTCTCCCGGTCCACCTAGTAGTATATCCGTAACGGCTAAGCCGACGGCTACAGTCACCTCTACGGCCACGGCTGGAACTGAACAAGCGTTGCGACAACTGCCGAGACCAACGACGTCCAGGTGAGGTTTGCATGAGATTTGCTGCGATGGGACTCGTGAGTCGTGGGCATGGAGCAGGCGTAGGGGGGGAGGGGGGAGGAGGTAAGGGTAAGGAGAGGGGAGAGAAAGGGGAGGTGGTGGTGCGGGTGCGGTCACTCTGGTGTTATGGTGCGACGTTTTGTCAGCAGACGTCTCGTTCGGCCGTCTCGCATCGCCTGTCTGTGCTGGAACACTTCAAGTGTTCCGGGTCCCGCCCGTAACATCCCCTTTACTTCAATTCAAAAAGGTTCTGTGTCCTTGCGTGACGTGGCATGACGTGGCAGGGATGGCGCGGCACGGGTGCTGTGGACGAAGAGAGTTCTGGCGTCAGCGCAGCGCAAAACGAGCAACCCGTTCACCTACAAGGTGCGTCCCCCTGCACACGGCACGCCTGCACACGGCACGCCTGCACACGGCACGCCTGCACACGGCACGCCTGTACACGGCACCCATACCTTGTCCACCCCTCCTGCCTTCGCTTATCCCCCCACCCCACCCTCAACCCCCCCGCCCCCACCCCACCCCTTCTTTCCCCCCCCCCCCCCCCCCCCCCCCCCCCCCCCTCTCCCCTCTCTCCCTCCTCTCCCGACCCAATCCAACCCAATTCTCCTCCATCACCACCTTACCCTCTCCCCCGCCCTCTACTCCTCCGCTTCCCCCTTTGTAGCAGCCGCGGCCGATGATCGACACCATCTCCGTGAAACGACCCTGGATGATTCTGGATTTTCACGAGCAATCCGTGCTCTCGCTTTTCACCCCCAATCCACCTCCACCGCTTGCCCTCCGCAGCAACCGGAGTTGAAGATAGACACGATGGATTGGGTGGTGAAGCATGCACGCTCCCTTCACCCATTCTCTCCTCTCTCTCTCTCTCTCTCTCTCTCTCTCTCTCTCTCTCTCTCTCTCTCTCTCTCTCTCTCTCTCTCTCTCTCTCTCTCTCTCTCTCTCTCTCTTCCGTCATCTTTTCTCTCCCCCCCCCCCCCCCCCCCCCCTCGAACAGCAACCGGAGTTAAAGATCGACACGATGGATTGGGTGGTGAAGCATGCGCGGCTGGGCGGCGACCCGCTGAACGGCTTCGACGTGTTTCTGACTGGCGTGCTCACCGTCAACGCGCTCATTTTTAACCCCAACGCGTATGGGCTGAAGATCAACGCGATCTATGTGCACGCGGAGTACAACAACACGTTTCTCGGCAACTCCAAGGTGAATTGAAGCTTGAATCGGCTGAATGCTTGTTGTTCCTGACGGGCGTGCTGACGGTCAACGCGCTCATCTACAACCCAAACGCGTACGGGTTGAAGATCAATGCCATCTACGTGCACGCAGAATATAACAACACCTTCCTCGGCAACTCCAAGGTGAACTCCAACACCTTCCTCGTGCTTTGAAGATGTGCATCTCTAAGGTAGTTTGCCGCGCCCAGGCGAAGAATTCTGACGTGAGGGGTTGAAGGACAAGTGCCGCCTCACGTGCACGCGGGGTATAACACCATGTTCCTCGGCAACTCCAAGGTGAATTGCCCGGTGAAACACTTTCCTGGCAATTCTGGCACACTTTCCTCAGCAGATCCAAGGTTCAGCAGATCCAAGGTTCAGCAGATCCAAGGTGAAACATGCTCTTGTGCCGCGAGATAGCAGCTTTGCAAGAATCCTTTTTCACGCCTTCGAAATTATTTTCTAACGGTGCCTGGATCTTTCTCCTATTTCCTTTCCCCCGTGCTCCATGCTCCCAGCTGCCACCCATGAATGTGTACCCGTTACAGTCATCCCCAGTAAAAGCACCCTTCAACCTGGTGAATATCCCTATGAAGAAGGGATGGCGCATATACCAGAAAGGGGATGTGCTTGCGACGAAGGTGGGTGTTGTGAGAGAGGAACTGTGATTCCACCTTGCTTAATTCTCCACTTGTTCCGTTTTTTCATCCATTTCCCTTCCTAATACTGCACTGCTTACACTATCTGCTATGAATACTGTTGGTGGAAAGCGGGTGTTAATTTTTCATTGCAATTGCATTGCTGCCAATTCCTCTCTATGAATCCTAAGTCCCTAACGTTCTCCTGTTTCGCCATCAGCCCTTGTTGTTGCAACTGCAATTCTCCTTGTGCCATCCTCTACTCTCCTTTCGCCATTGCCACCTTCCAGATTGACATACAGGGATTTGGTAAATTCATCGGCTTTGGAATTAAAAGTCCTGTGATGCAGGTGTGTTGGCGCTCCGCACTAGTGCAGGTGTGCTTGTTCCCATGATGCTCGGTTGACAGGTGCCCTTGCTCTCACATTCGCCTGGTACTTGTGCGGATCCTGTTTGTATGTAACATTTTATGTGACTCTTGATGAGGCACGTACAATTTCCAGAATCGACTGCTACTTGCATTTGCCAGCTATGCACCGGGAGTCGTCTTTCGTTACTGGATTATGGACCTCTTTGCACCACCACGCCTTGCTCTCAAATTTCACGCCTCATGCATCTCTAGCAGAAGAGCCTTCTGCCTCTCGAATTTCCCCCGCCCTTGTCTTCCTTGGGTTTCTTTGCACACCTCTGCTACACCCTTGACCCCCTCCCCCCTTCTCCCCCCTCTTCTCCCCCCCCCTCCACCTGCTTTACCTCATTATCTGTTCCAACGCCTGCAGGTCAGAACCACGTGTTATGTTATGTACGTGCTTAAAGGTGGAAAGATTATTTCCCAAACATGCAACAGCCCAGATTTTGATCTTGGGTGAGGAGGATGCATGGCGTAATGCATGGCGATCAAGCTTGTAGAAGATCACAAGTGTGGGTTATTTTGTTTGTATGGAGTTGGAGTATGGGGGATGGAAGCTGAGCACAGGGTCAAGAGTAAGGCTGGGTGGGGTTTACTCTTGCCTCTGTGCCTGCCGGTTGCTGCTGTTTATCGCTGCATTTTTTGTTCTTGTAAGTTGTGCTATGATTGAGCACTCGCTCTGTGCTCACTATAGCCTTTCGAAATGTATTATGGGGATCATGTACGTAAATACGAAATGCTTCTCAGTAAAGCTGGGCTCTTACTCCATTAGTGATGGTGATGGCCAAATTGGTGCTACTGATATCTTTGGAAACAGTTTTCATGTATCGCAGGCGAAGAACAAATTTCAACTGTGCCTTGTGGAAATGTAGCGCACTGTTGTGGGGCGTCCTGTGCGGGAGCATCGCGGCGAATGTGGGCAACGAAGTCCGCGCTTCGTGCCAACATTTGGCCAATTTGACATTTGCGCACATTTCGCGTTTCGCGGGACGACCGACAGGCAATTCACTTTTCACTCCTAAAAAAAAATCGCCCCCCTTCAACCCCCAGGGCCCCTCTCCCCCTCGACCAAACAGTCTCCCCCTTTCCTCCCCCCAACAAACCAGCCCAACTGAACCGGCCCTATCAACAATCACCAACGCCCTCGAGCAGTTCTGTGCGGTGGTGGTGAGTCGCTCCCCAACGGCTCTTTTGCGGAGCAGCATTGAACAACGTGAACTCCCATGGCTGTCGCGCTGTACTGCAGCGCCGGCTATTATTTCGGAAAGTGGCCCTCGCAACGTGACCGACACGAGACAGAAGCGGTGGCAAGCCGCCACAGAGATTCCTGGCCAACACCATTCTTGCATTCCCTTGTTTTTCCTATATCTGCTAGAGTCGCGCAATTACAAGCGCGCCCATTCCAATCCAGTAACTCCGAATCCCAGTGTACTGAAACCACCAACATGGCTTGCGTACACCGTTCGCCCGCAACAGGTGCGCACGGCTTGGACGCCATCGTTTTCCTTAGGTTACTCATAACAATTGAACCACGCAGTTTTGCCAGTAACCACTCTGCCATCGTCAATTTTCCAGAAGAATTAGACGACTCTAGTGACTTCCACTCCAGAGCAGGTTAATGCGCCATCCTTTAGGAAGCATTTGAATAAAAGAAATTAGGCGCTTCAGAAACGCGTGCTGCATCAGGATCATTCGTCCCGTTCCCCCCGTCCCTCCCATTCCTCTCATCCCTCAAACCTCCCATTCCTTCCCCTCCTGCCTTACCTGCCTCGTTCCCTGCTGCAGCTCTTCTCACGTGCGTGCTCCTCGTTGCCGCCGCATCATGCGCTCTCGCCGCCCCTCCGAAATCCAAACCGCCTAGTCTCCCACCCATGCCCAAGATACCCACTGCCATTCCCTTTCCCGGCATCCGAAGATGTGAGTTAAACGCACCTTCCTCCTCTCGATCTTCCTCACCCACCGTCATATTCCCGTACCCCTTCCATTTGCACTTATCTCTCTTTCCCTTCCCAACATCCCTCACACGTGCACAACTGTGATAAACTTACGCATGATCCTGTAGTTCTAGTCATGGTGCTGTTCTCTACCGTCCCTGCACCTCGTGTCCCCGCTCAATCTTTCTTCTCTCCCGTTCGTCCTAAATCCGAATCGCCTGTCCGGCTTAACATGTCCGCTCACGTCCAGCCTCAACGGTTATTGAGCAATCACGCAATTCAGCTCAATGGTTCGTCTCTCCCTTGTTCTGACCTAACAGGTCTGCTGACGTCCAGCCTCAGCGCCAAGAAGGTTCTCAGCGCGAGCTTGGGAGGAGATTCGCTCGCTACGGGCAGCTTTCGCGCCTTGATCTATCAGTGAGTGTCGTCAATGGCGTGAGTGTCGTGAGTGTGGTGAATGTCGTGAACGTCGTGAGTGTCGCGAATGTCGTGAGAGTCGTAAGAGTCGTGAACGCCGCTCGCGTCGTGAGTGTCGTGGGTATTGTGAGTGTCGTGTTTCACTTCACCGCAGCTCCCTCCGTTGGACTTGTCACTGACGTACGCGCATGCGTTGCATGTGTGTGTATGCGAGCAGGCAGGGCAACCGTACAATAAATATCAAGATTCATTTCGACGTTGAGGGTCTCACGCTCCCGCTGCCGCCCATCAACCAAACGCTCTACGACGGCCGCCGCGGCAGCAACGGCACGCCGATTTGGGAGCTGCCTAACGCGTGGACGGTCGGGGGCGCTCCCGACGAGTTGAAAATGGACACTTGGATTACGGACGCGACGCGCAAGCTCGTGCCAGGGACATCGATGACGTTTTACAGCTTTTTTCAGAAGATCGACGCGACGCCGCGGAATTTCTACATTGTGATTAGAACCGAAGCTTTCCCGGACGGAGCGCTGCGCGGGCAGATGGGACGGCCCTCGCTGGTGCGCTGGGCGTCCAAGCCAGTGTGCTAGTAACGGGAACGCATATATTGCTAACCACGGGCTCAAGTGGGGAATTCTTGAGGCCTTTCTTGGCCTTGAGACGGATGGAGGGCAGGACGGGTGGGACACTGGAGAGACCTGCGTTTGTGACACAACTCGGAGGTCTTGGGTGGGGTCTTACCCGATCCTCTCTAGTGAAGATGTTAGGCTCACTTTCTTGAAGCCCAATGCTTGAGGTGAAAGCCTTCGCAGTTAGTATGTCAGCATAATCTTATAACTACCAGCATTGTTTGCTGAAACACTAACCTACAGACTAGCACCCTGTTTAAACTGGACGCTCGCACCTTAGAAAGAACATTCATTTGTTAACTGGGAACATATTAGCTTTCCGCGGTAAATGCCACTCGGGCTTATCGCAATGCTTCTAGGGAGGACAGCTTTCACGAGTCGTCGAGCCGCACAATCTCGCAAATGTCGGCATTCTCTCCGCACCGCAAATGGCGCTTTCAAATTACAAGGCGCGTCAAAAACACAATTTGGGGCTCCTCGCCTGTTTTCAATGTCGTCTGTTTTCTTTCGCCCCGACTTTCGCATTTTCCATTCCCACCCCACTCCCACGCGGACCCAAACCGCGGGCGGACGCAGCTCCAGTGGACACCGACAGCCGCGCGCGAATGAATAGACCGCCAGAAAAGCAAAATGTGGAGGGGCCAGAAATTTTGAAACCCAGAAACACCTAGCCCGCGCCAATTTCAAAAAGACGGTACCGAGCCGCGATTTTGCCACTTGCCCGTGGGATATTTGTGCAGTGAGTCAGCACCTGGCTGCGAGTGCTGACAGGGCGGATTTGCCCTCCACGTATGTGGCGGATTTCTGACCAAAACCTACACATCATTTTCGCGTCCAGTCTGAATTCTGTCTCTCCAAAGAGTTGGGAATGCTGCTGACGCGTCAGTGCATATAGACCGCAAATATGCCTTGCTACTGTTCAGTTTTGCCCCCCACCCCCAGAGGTGGCGACAAACCTTTTGAAATTGGGGGGATTGAAAATGGCGCGGGCTAGGTGTAGATCTGCTCGCGCCCTCCGCCTCCCCCTCCCCTTCCCCCACCACCGCCTGTCCACCCCCAACCGCTAAACCCCCCACAGCCCGAATTGCCACCACAGCTGGACTGAAAAGGAGGGTGAGGGAAGAAAGGAAGAAACTGTCAATGTGGTGCCTGTAAAGCCAAGCTCAGGCAAAACCTGTAAAGCCAAGCACCGGCAAATCGTCGTGATGCCACCGCCGAGTCGTGCAGAAACGGCTACTTGGACGCTCCTTCGGTGGCAATATTGGGCCATCGGATCGGGGCCTCGCCGAAATGTTTCGATTCGACAAACAGACCACCGACGAAACGAGAACAGTTGCTGGAGCCATCTTTGGCATCCCATCCCGTGCTCCATAAGTCGAGTTCCTTTGAAAGCGTTAGTACATACAGTCAAGTGCACATCCCATTCCTCTTCAGCAACTCGATCTCCTCACTTCAACCAGGTATAATCGTGTTGACTGACGACTTCCATTCGACGTCGTAGAATCGCGGCTGAGAATACAACACCATCTAGAATTCTCTCGAGAGCGATCGCTCTCCATCCGTCCGCGTTTCCAGCCAGCCACAGATAGAGTATCCGCTACTACCCGCTGCTAAGACCTTTCCATTCACTGCTTGACTCGACGCCATTCGATAGGAGCCATGGCTCGTTCAATCGCCGTCGCCGTCGTTCTAGCCGCGCTGGCCGCCGTCATCTGCGCCGCGTCGTCCGTCAGCGCGATAACCCCCTCGCCCTCAACAGTACCAGCCCCGTCCGCCAAGGGAGCGCCCGCCCCACCAGCAGCGGGCGGAGCAGCGCCGAAGTCAGCAGCGAGCGGAGCAGCGCCGAAGTCAGCAGCGAGCGGAGCAGCGCCGAAGTCAGCAGCGAGCGGAGCAGCGCCCAAGCCAGCGCCGCCTCCGACGAAGGCGCAGCTGCGCGCCGAGCTGAAGAAGCTGTCGGCGGCGATCACGGCCAAGTACCCCAAATACGCCAAATACTCGACGCAAGTCAACAAAGCCATCAACATCGCCCGTGAGTCCCGTCAGAAAACGCCAGGAAAAACCCAAAGCACCCAAATTTAAGTTTCACAACTTTTTTTTCAAGAAGTACTCGAGATTTGCCTGAGCTCTCTCTGAGCATCCTTCCCTCCCTGACCGGGTGGATTTCCCCCGCTCCCCCTACTCCCCCTCCTCCCCTCCCCATACCCGATACAGTGAACTCCAAGTACAACCTGACGGCCCTGCAGAGCGCCACGATTCTGCTGATGAGCGACGCGGTGGCGGACAGCCTTGCGCTGCGCTTCAAAGGCAAGAAGATCTCCAACGACGTCGCCTACAACCTCACAGCCGTGCAGATCGTCGCCACACGCCTCACGCTGCCGCTGCTGCAGGCGGTGAAAAAGGGCCAGCTGCTGCCGACGCAGCTTAAGGGAGTGAGCCTCGTGAAAATGTCGAAGGCTGGCCCGAGCGTGGTCCTGGGGCAGCAGGGGCTGGCGAAGGCGACGTGGAGCACGGTGATGGATCCGGAGATGTACGTCGGGCCGTACTTCGTCGCGCACGGAGTTGACAACCCGCAGTTCCCCGTGGGCACCAAGCTGCCCGCGTAAAAAAAAAAACACGAAATAGGGGAAAGGGCACAAAAGCTTCCCGCTTGCGAAAGTGGACAGGGGAGGAGGGGTTTGCTTGAAGTGTACAGGGGAAAGTGCCCGCTTGCGAGACTCTCACGGCAGGGTACGAATGCAGGTTATACTGTGGGCTTACAGCAGCGCGGATGTGATGTTTCCTTCAGCAACAGGCCCTTCTGTGTGATACATTGCATGCCATGTCAACTCAATGGCTCCGCCTTAGGATTCCTTGATTACGGGAAGGACCCATCACATCACGGCGATGCTCCTTTGTAGTTCCTTGTTATCAGAATGATTGAATTGCTCACTGATTTACAGAAGCTCCAGTATGTAAAAGCAACTATCTGCATGCCCATCTAAGGGAAGCCTTATTGGTTTGTACAGTAAGTAGGTGGATCAGCACGCTGTAGCTTGTTTGACACTGATTTCCATTCCAAGAGGTCAAAGCTTTGGAGTCCCAAGCCAATCATCCAGCCCAGCAGAGGTGTGGTTTGGGATGCACACGAGGAGCATGTGGTAACGTACGTTGCTCTAAGCCCTTTTACAAGCCTTCTTTCGAATCGCACGAGCCTTATCTACCTTGCCCTGCAGGCCTCACTCTGTCGTTGTCCTCCTCTCGCGTCGTGTGGTCTACTAACGTAACTACCGTATATCCTGCGCCAGCCTAGTGACAATGACCATCATATACATAATTTGCACATTACTTCTAGCCGCAAAAGAGCATAGCCCACCATGATGAAAAGTTGTTGCGGCTCCCCTAGTGATGATATACGGTACGGTATATGGCAGCAGATGTTGGTGGTGCTTGCGTCATTGATCGTTGGAGAAATGCACGCGCAACGGTTGGCGTGGTACGGCATGAGAAATTATGTGCAATTAACATTGTAATTCGTTGAGGTGCACCTGTGTTACACTTAGCTGGCTGGTTTATGTTTATCAGAAAGGGCATGGGCAGTAGCATTGAAGACTATGGAAACTTACCTCCCCCATATTCTAAGACTGCACTTGAGCGAGGAAGCGAGTATTGCACCATCCGTGCAAGAACACAGGGGGAGCGAAGGCATGAATTAGCGAAACGATGGCATTGGTATCACACGAAATGCTAAGGTTAATTCGAATATTGCATAAACATGTCCTATAACCAGAGAATCTGAAAGTGTTTCTGATTGTTCGCGGTTTTTGCGCGGGCTTGGGTGTTCCTCTGGAAATGTGGATGGCACGGTATAACGAGCGAATTATCGACGGCAGATTGAAGCTCGGGTCGGGGCTCGATGGAGCCCCGTCGTGCTCGAATTTGGTGGCGCGACTTGGTAGCGCGGCTTGATGAGAGCGAATTTCCGCGCTTCACTTGAAAAGGCTCCTCCTCCATTCCACTCCGACATTTCCAATGCCATTCCCACCATCGCTCCCTTCCCCACCCCACTGCTGGCTGTTGGTGCATGGCAGGGCACTCAAACTCACTCTCTTGCTGGCACCTACGTGACGTGGATGTTTTACTCTCGTCTAGTATCCTCCCCTTTCCTCTCCCCTTCCTCCTGAACGGTCCACATTCATCATTCAGCTTACCGTGTCGGTCAAACCCCTTCAGTGTGTAGCCTCCCCTTTCTAGCTTCGTCGGCGGACTCGTTGGTAGAGGACGCATGCGTTATCAGTAATAACGTCGGTGGTTGAAAGCTAGACCTGAAGCACAGTCGGCCTTCCAAAGCACACTAACGCAGGCTTCACTAGGCAACAGTCAGCTAGACTCGCTAGACTGGTTGCGGTTTTCACCCTACGCATGTGCAAACACATCGCTCAGCTTTCACTCCGCGTGTCGTAGCTCCGAACTACTCGTAACTCCGCGAGTTTCTTTCTTTCGTCCCACTTCATCTCGCGAACCTCAGTCCCCCTTCATCTCGCGAACCTCCGCGAACTCGTAATGCCGCAATCGCCGTCCGTCATGGTGTCTGCGGTGCTGCTGTCGGCCCTGCTCGTACTAGTATCCTCGCTAACGGCTGACGCGCAATCAATTCCCTTCCCTGGAATTCCTAAATGTGAGTCTCACCCGCCTCTCACACGCCTTGTCGCACGCCCGTTGTCGCACGCTCCTTGTCGCACGCCTCTTGTGGTCCGCCATGAGTCGTCAGATTGCCCTCTAGTCGCCCGTCTCTCACATGTATCTACTCGCGTTATAGCCCCGAGCCATCTGGCAGAAACTCCCATTCAATCTTCTGCTCTTTGTTGCGTGGCTGCCTAAACTCGTCACAACACCATGCCATCTACCCGCTCTGCTAGACTTACATTCCAAGGGGCGTCAATTTTGCCGCCCTCCAAGGCTTTCGTGAACTGTCGCCGTGACTCAAGTCAACTGGCTCTCCATGCCCTCTTGTCCACCATACCCCAACCTCGGATGCGACAATTTCCTCATGCCCTCGTGTGACCCTTCAGAACGAGTGAAACCTCACCTCACCGCTCTTGACCCCTCTGTTTGCACGCGCAGGCACGCTGATCTCGAACCTCAAGCCCAACAAAGTGCTCAGCTCCAATCTCGGCGGCGACTCCGGCGCGTACGGCTATTTCCGCATCCTCGTCTTCCAGTGAGTTTCCCGGAATTTTGTCTAAAATGTCTTGCAGTGAGTGTTTCTGGGCTTTATTGATGCAGTGGCCGTCCTTTTTCTCTTCCCTCTCAAGTTTGCGATATTTTCTGGCGTGCCACGTTCCTCTACTTCCTGCAATATTCCGACGACATTTGAATTACGCAGGCAAGGCAGCAAGATCAACATAAAGCTTCACTTCGACATCGAGTCGCTCACCGCGCCGCTGCCGCCGACAGGTCAGACGCTCTACGACGGCCGCCGCGGCAGCACCGGCACGCTCGTCTGGCGCCTACCTAACCCCTGGACCCTCGACGATATCAACGAATTGAAAGTCGACACGTGGATCACAGATGCCGACAACAATTACATCAGTCTTGGCGTTGTTGACAATAACGGGAGCGGGGGTGGATCTACCGCGAGCAACAGCGGCGTTACCCCGCCAGATTCAGCGTTCACTCGCGCTCCGTCTGACGGGAAAGCGAACGTCATTAAACCGGCTAACGCGTCGAGTGCGGTGGGCGCGAGCAGCAGCGGCGGCTTGAGCACGGTAAAAAGTGTCAAGCCCTTGGGCTCTGAGACGTCGATCTACGATCTGGTTAGGCAGATCGACGCGAATCCGGGGCGTTTCTACGTGCAGATCAACACGCAAGCGTTTCCCAATGGTGCCCTTCGCGGCCAGATCTTCCGCCGCTGGATTCCGCAGGCCATATGCTGATCTGAACATCACAGCGCGGTATTACCAGGGTGTGGGACACTACACAAGGAGACCCGTTACCCTGATACGCAGCATTCAGCAAATTAATGTGGAAGGGGTTGTAGTTTGCAGGAATATGCGAATTCTCTCCTGCGTCTACAGCCTTTTCCACGGTAATACCTTAGGGGTGTGCTGCAGACACTGGACCTATGGTGCCAGGCACATTTCCGAGGGCCTTCCCTTTTGCATCTTTCCGAGTGCATTAGAAAAGGGTCGTGTAAATGGTGTTTGGCTAGGCTGTATGTAGCCTAGCATGGTGTATGTAGCCTTATGCATCAGCTCATCATGCCGGTATGTATCAGAGGTAATTATGTATCTTCCAATGCTTGCCTATAACAGGACATACAGAAAGGTGACATTTCTATTTCAATTTGACTCATCCTGAAAGCTAAGTGTTTGCATCACAAAACACCAAATTGGCTGTCTCAGTTGAAATTGATAGAAAAAACACAATCACTGCAGAGACCTTACTGATCTGCCTACCTACAGTACCTCTTCTCTGCAGCCCCACCTGTGACTCTCCATCCTTCCAACAAGCGTTGTTCCTCTGACATCAGCACTCCCTCCTTTACCCATCCTTACTGCTTGCTATCTAACCACACTCCACCACTCTTCCCTCCCCCCCATCCCCCTCCACCGCTCTTCCCTACCCCACCCACCACCTTGCTACCCCCAACAGACGCCCCATAACCACCTGCACCCCCACCCACCTTTCCAGGAACCCCCCCCATCCCCCCACCATAAGCCCCAATGGAAGCATCCCCAGGAACAGCACTGCAGCTGCCCCCCTTCCAGTTGGACACAGCAGCAGCTCTGGCAGCAGGAGGGCCACCCACGCTCCCTACACTCAGGGGAGAGGCAGAGGCAGAGCCCCACGCACCAGGAGCACCACCACCAGTCGCAGCAGGAATGGGCCTTCCCCCACCCATGGGCATGCCCCGAACCACTCCAGCCCCACCCACTCCAGCCCCACCGAGTCCAGCCGCCCCACTTGCTCCGCCACCAGCCATGGCTGCTGCTGTGCTGGCCTTCTCCTGCTCCCTCCTCACCACCTCCTGAGCGTCCAGCAGTCCTCTCTGCCTGCGCGCCTCTGCCTCTGCTGCCGCCCTTGCCACGCAACATGCCAGCCGCTTGAGCACCAGCAACCCACCCGACCTGCCAATCACAACATGGACAAGTGTCAGACAAGTTATGACTCCATGCAGAGTGTTCGTTTGTTGCCCATGCAGATCGGTTTTGAGGTGGAAAGAGCTCATGAGGCACTCAAGTCTTATCATCTTCTGTTCCAATGCCCACGAGAGGTGCTGGCTTGTTCCCTGCCTGCCCACTCGCTGGTGAGGGTGACGATCCCCATTTCCCCCCATTACTGCTGCTGCTGCTGCTGCTGCTGGTAGTGGTCGTGGCGGAAAAGAAGGACGTAGGTTTCGGAGGGGCCTGGGGCAGTTTGAAAGCGTCTGGACGAGCGTAAGCAGGGAGGTCGTTGGCAGACGCAGCACGGACGCAGCCAGAGGAAAATCCTCCAACGCTTTTGCCAGGAGAAGGTGCGCTTCCAGTGGACGCTGGGCTCAGGGGGGATACAGGTGACAGGCAGTCTCGAGCCGGTCCTGATATAAGCCTCTCCACTGCTTCGTTAAAAGCTGCTTCAATGCGTTGGATGTTGCCTTGAGCAATCTAAGAGAAAAAAAGTGAGAAGAAAACGAGTAAGGCAAAAGGGGAGCACTTGTGATTTCTGAGAGATAAAAAAGACATTGGAAGGAGAAATTTCACAAAAAGAGGTGCATCCCTTGCAAAGTTATAGTGTGTGAACCATGGCAGACAACTCACATCTTGAGCGAACAGGAAGGCGAAATACAGGTCAGTAACCAGCTTGTCGCAATCATAGTGGTCAGTTCCCATTCGCGATGAGTTCAGAAAATCCTCAAGACCCTGAAACCCCAGCCTCCCGCCTTTCACTGATGGCGTCACGTCCATGCCATGCTGACGACATGCTTCCACCAGGGTCCGGCTGAGTGCCTGCAGCGTCTGATGCTCCACGCTGCTCCTGTCGTCTGCTGTGCCCTGAAACACACATGCAATGAAAGACAGAATCCAAAGAAGTATGAAAAGGCGTCTGGTGTGCCCTGAAACGAACTGGTGGTAAGAGTATTCGGATCAGACAGGAAATGAAACGAGAGCTTCAGATCGTGTTGAGAGCCTAGAGGAGTATAGCTAACGATTCAAGGCGCCAAGAGTGGGAAAAAGCCATTGGGCTCTGCTAATCATAAACTCCCATACCAGCTTGCTGGCGATCTTTTGCGAAACCGCAGCCACTTCGTGGTGATAACCCGCCATTTCCAGGTGAAGCAGCCGCTGAAGGGCTGCGAGAGAGGAGAAAGCAGCCAGAGGTCCGTAAGACGTATTTCAGGAATCATTAGACTAAATAAAGATCGAACAAATCTGCTGATTAACTCCCATGTCGCACCTGCAAATATCACGTCTTCTGGACGTTTCCCTGCCTTGCGCATCGACTCAATCTTCTCCCGTTCGTGCAGATCCGCGTAGTGCTTACACGCCTTGCTGATTCCCGTCGACACCGCGTTCACCCCCGTTACAGTGGCGCTGTACAAGAAACTCAGACCCTGCTTCGCTAAGAATCCAGCCTGCGAAGAAGCGGAAGCCATGGCTGAAGCTTTCACTGCCAGCAACAAACGTCAACTACAGCTAGAAGCTGGGCTCCTAAAAAGGGTTGTGAGTGACTCAAGCCTGATTGATTAAAATATGTGAGCGCTTTCAGCTAGCGAAAGCAGTCAAAGGATTCCAAGTATCCTCTTTTAAAAAAAGGCTGTAACTACAGCGATGATGCAGCCGGAAAAGGGGTTGACTAACTCGCTCATTCAAGCTACTTCTCATGCTGAGCATTCTACGTGAACGCTCTCGTACCGCAGCAAGCGGACACATGCTTTGAGCCATGCTCTGGCGCCGCAAAGGTGACAGCGAAGCGACTCGAAGCTCTTGCGTACAGGCGACGCGGCGTCTAGATTCTCGAAGCACCACTCAAGGTACCTCCTGCATCAGATTCTAAGGAAATGGGCGAAGGTGGGGGGTGTTGCGGGGGTGGACAGTGAAAAGGCGGCAGCATGTCAGGGCCCAGGGAACGTCGTCTGCTGAAACAAATGTGCTGACATCAGCAATAAGCCACAAAATCTATCTCCCAATACTACACCTGACAATTTTTGTATCGCTACCATTTTAGAGAATAAATGAACTCATTACTTCCAACCAATCCAATCCAGCACGCGACTCATTCAAAAACCTATTGCTACAAAACATGGATTTGGCAGGATATATAGACAATGTACACCTGTATCTTGACAGCAGAACTTGAGGATTGATAACACTGACACGCAATTGCTGCAACACTACTTCAATCTACACACCAACTCATGTCAGCGCCACAGGAGCCGCATTACAGTAACTCGAGTGCGCGCATATCGTTCTCTTCCCCATGAAACTCACCACCACAAGCATGATTCCCAACACCGCCCCCACAACCACTCGTCTTCTGTCCAAAACACTCCACCCCCATTCCCCTCCCTTTCCACCCGCAGCTCCTCTTCCACTAGCCACCCACAACCCTCCTGGCAGAAGCTGATCCAGTCCTGCAGGGGCCAGCAAGCCGCAGGCTAGCACAAGCCAATTCAGCAGCCCCACTCCGAAACTATGAAGCAAAAAGAACGACGCTACAGCCCCGACGGGCCCAGCCAGCCCTGCTACAGCCGCAGATGCGAGTGCTAAGGGAACAGCTGCTAGGGGAAGCTCTGGGGTGGAGCGGGTGATGGAGAACGAACCTAGTGCAGCAGCTGCTGCAGCAATGCCACGCGGCACACCGTGAATGGCTGCTGGAAGAAGCATGCGCATCCCAATCTCTCCTACTCCCCCACCTCCTAGTCCACTTGCTCCTGATTCTCCTCCCAGCTCTCCTCCTGGCGCTGCTTTCTGCCCCAGCAGAAGCCCCTCGGCGAAAGCATGGCCCGACACAGCAACACAGACCAGCACAGAGGCTCGGATCCCGTAGCTCAACTGCAGGCTCGGCTTGCGCACCTCCTTCTCATCCCCGTCCCCAGTCCACTGCTGCAGCCCGTGACTATACTGAACGTCACTGAAACCGCCCTGCAATTTCTGCTGCGCGTTGCCCACACACCCATCCGCCAAGCCCCGCCCCATACTGGCACAAAAGTAATGCAGCACACAGCCCACGTAAAACACTGATAGCAGCGGCAGCACCTCCATTTGCCCGGTTACCAGCAGCTGCACCGGCTGCCACAGCGCCAAACCGAGCAGCGCCCCTCCCGCTAGCCCGGATAGCAGAGGCGGCGAGACAGGGGCAGGGAGCGAATGGGAGAGGAGAAGCGGGAGAACGGACCCTATGAGCGGCCCCAGGAAGAACAGCAGCGCCCAAGCAATCGGTACTAAGCGGTGCCAGCTTTCAGGCGCGTCCACGCCTTCGAGGAAAGTTCCTAGCGCTTCCATGAACGCGACGGAGAGAGTAGCAGCTGAGGCGACGTGGGAGGAGTTAGCGCCCTCTTTAATGCACTCCGGGAGAACCTCGCCGAAAACTATCCATATCATGCACCCTGCTGCGAAGCCCATGCAGAGCGGGAGGAACTGGGTGAAGGTGTTGGCGCCGAGAAACGCGGGGACGGCGACCAGTGGTTGTGGGAGGCTCGTGAAGACGCTCCAGAGCATGGCGTTGCGCGGTCGCACGCCGCGCGCGACCATGACGAGAGTCATCGCGAGGCCTTCGGGGACGTTGTGCACGGCGATGGCGATGGTTACCAGCAGCCCCTGCGACAGGCCGCGAGGGCCGGCGAAGGAGACACCGACTCCCGAGCCTTCGCCGAAGGAGTGGAGGGTCATTATAACGAGGATGAGAACCACGCGGTTGGCCGATGCGCCTTTTAAGTCCATCATTTTAACGTCCCCGAATTGCTCCAGTACCCTCTGGCTTAAAACAATAAACAGCCCACCTAGGATTATCCCTACCACCACGCACGCGCCGCCTGATCCGCTGTCGTGCAGTCTTCCCTCGGAGACTAAGTCGAAACTAGCCGCCATCATCACGCCGCAAGCCACGCCGTTACACACGCCAGCCCACTCCTCCTCCATCTCCATGAAGAAAAACGGCAGCGACCCGAGGCCTGTCGCTGCCGCCATTAGCACCGTCAGGATACTGACGGTCAGTACGGAAACGGGTGATTTAGGCGGGTTGACGGAAAGGAGCTCTTGACGGAATCCGTCATCATTATCTTCAGCGGGAAGCTGACGGACGGTGGCTGCGGGTGTGCCGTCGGAAATGAGATTGGGGGGCTTGGGAAAGCCGAGCACCTCGGCGTTGCCGAACGGGTCGGGCGCGGAACGGGCGGAATGGGCGGAGAGCGCTGCGCGGGGAGGTTTCGTGGTGGAAGGAGCGGGCTTCGCGGCGGAGCAAGAGGAGAGCGAGCAGGCGAAGGAGAGCAAGACTGGGAGAAGGAGGAAGAGGAGCGGTTGCGGGTGGTGCGGTCGGTGATATCGGTGTTGGCGGGCGAGGGGGCGAGAGGTCGGGTCGTGGCGAGTTGAAGCAGAGGAAACTCCACAGTAGGACGTTATGACCGACGAAGAGCTGGACCCAGGGCTTATTCGACTTAATCGCACCGGGCCCATCGCTTCACTTATTCGAGTTCTCTAATAATCGGCGCTAAAGGCTTCGGCCGAGACGCTAGCAAGAGCGCTGTCAGGCCATAACTCATAAGGCACTCGGCGTCTCAGGCGAGGAGCTGAAACTGGGGTCTGCGAAAATTGTGCTCAAGCAGACCAGCACTGGATTCAGCTACAACAGGGACACGGATAGAGGTATGTGAAAGGTCGTTAGTAGGAATCGAACAAAGGAAGAAAGAAATTGGGGTGAGGAAAGAATGAACGGCACGGGAGAAAGAGAGGTGGATTGATTGGAGGGGGGAGGGCGGGGGGCGGGGTAGAAGCGGGGAACGCGGAGGGCGGTGGTGAAAATAATTCTAAGGCAAGGCGCAGGGGTCCGGTCTGGGGGAGTGGAAGGAGGATGCTCGCGCGAGAATGAGGATGCCGGCGGAATAGTTCGTGAAAACCGAGGGTGAATGGGCTGCGGGGTGCATGCGAGAAAAGGCAGGAAGGTGTGCGCGACCTTCGTTGAAAAGTCGTCCACCACTCCTGGCGAGCTGTACTTACAGCCTGTCAATTCATGAGAGCTCTGGTTGGACAACGACTCGTCAGGGGTGAGACAGTGAACAAGGAACGAGATCGCAGAAATCAAGTTCCTGACAGTGCGCGACCCGCACGAAGCTGGGGGCAGGCAGGTGAACCGAACTTGGTTCCGAACCGTCCGTCGTACGGCGATCTCAGGCCTGTCCGTGCGATCTCATCCGCGCTGAATGTATACCCGTTTTTCTTGTAGAATACAGACTCCTTATGAGCAAAGAGCTGGAATAAATAATGCTCGCTGCTGAAAATTCTTCGAGCAGCTCCCAGAAGCCTGTTTAGGGTTAGGGTTAGGTCTTTCCACCTCCCACATCACTGGCATTAGCTTTGTTAGGTCAATTCTTCAGCGATGGTGAGTTTGCCGTGGCCGTGTCAACGCCGTACCATTCTTGCTTTTCTCCCCGCCATGGCGACGATCCAACCCTTTATTTTCAGTTATCCTACGATGTTCGTGTTGCATCACGCTGATGTATGCAGGCAAAGCAGCGAGGGGCCAGCAAGCCTGTGCCGGCCGCAGGGCATGACGGTCCGTAAACCCCTTTCCAAATTCCCCTCGTACCTTTTACTTCTAAGGTGCCAAAGCAATCATGGGTAGTGCCCTCGTCCCTGGTACCTCGTCACGTCACCCTCAACCTGATCCGCTTTCGTTAATCAGGCTTGTAATCCACATAACTGGTATCCTGCTCTCGCGCGCTAAACCTCCGCCATCTGCCCTTTCATAATTGACGCTTTTAATCTCTCTCGCCAGCAGTGGTGGTCCTTTCCCATAATTCATATTTATCGGATGACCTTTCCCCTTTTGATTCGCCCTAGCTGCGTTCCACGGTCGGATTTAACCCTAACGCTCCTGTCGGCGTTCGTCCTGACGCCTTCCGCGCCTGCTCCGCAGGTTCGGACGACGACGCGTACCCATCCCCGCCCAAGAGGCTCGGCCGAGGCAGCAGCGTCCGAGGCTCCAACCTTTCCACAACAGCCGCCGCAGCTGCGGCCGCGGCGGTAGCGGCGGCGGCGGGCGCGGGCGCGGGGATGGTCGGGGGGGCGGAGGGGGTCCCGCGGGGATGGAGGGCGTGGAGGAGGGGGGTGCAGGGGGTGGCGGGTGGGAGGCCATGCTGCAGCAGCTGGAGCGCGACTCGTATCTCGCCGTGCTCCGCGCGTTCGGCGCGCAGTCCCCTGCGATCACCTGGGTAGGGCGACCACGTGGAAAGGGTGACCACGTGGGTAGGGCGACCACGTGGGTAGGGCGACCACGTGGGTAGGGGCAATCACATGGGTAGGACGATGGCCTGGGTAGGGTCGATCACGTGGCAATTACGTGGGATGCGCATCATGTGGGTAGGGGGATCATTTGGGTCGGGCGATCACGTGGGTAGGGGCGATCACCCGCGTAGGCTGATGCCAGTACATCGACGCGCATCTTCCACTCACTTTGCCCCGCTTCCGCTCTAGCTGAGCCGTCCCTTGGTGCGTGCATGGTGGCTTGGTGGCATGGCGGCATGGTGGTATGGCATGGCATGGTGGTATGGCATGGCATGGTGGTATGGCATGGCATGGTGGTATGGCATGGCATGGTGGTATGGCATGGCATGGTGGTATGGCATGGCATGGTGGTATGGCATGGCATGGTGGTATGGCATGGCATGGTGGCGTGACATGGCGCGGCGTGGTATGGCACGGAGTGGCATGGTGGCGTGACATGGCGCGGCATGGCAGGCGAAGGAGGCGCTGATGCTGGATCTGCGCAAGGAGCTCTACATTCCTTTGCCCCTCTGTTGCACGTCCCTTGTTGCATGCATTGCATGTGCCCTGATGATGGCATGACATGGCATGGCATGGCAGGCGAAGGAGGCGCTGATGTCGGATCTGCGCAAGGAGCTCAACATCTCAGACGACGTGCACCTTTCTTTAACTCTTGCTGCTCGCTCCCTTTTCCTCTCTCCTGCACGTCCTTTCATGCGTGCATGCGTGCTGATGATGGCGTGACATGACATGACATGACATGACTTGACGTTTCACTGCATGCCAGGCGAAGGAGGCGCTGATGTCGGATCTGCGCAAGGAGCTCAACATCTCGGACGACGTGCACCGCATGCTGCTCGCTCGCGTGCACGACGATAAAAACATCCGCCTCATCTGGTGGGTTGGTGGGGTTGGTTTGGCTGCTTGGGTGGCTTGATGGGGCAGGTTTGGCTGCTTGGGTGGCTTGATGGGGCTGGTTCGGCTGGTTGGCTTGGCTGGTTGGTTACTGAGACATCTTAAAAAGGCTCATTCAGGACGCCTGCTTGTTGCTTTTGAGGCGTGCTCACAGGACGCCGTGCACTGCCTGCTGCTTGCTCGGACGTGTGTGCGATGATGAAAATTTCCGCCCTTTTTCTCCCTCTCACGCATCATCGCACCCTCCGCCCCTTTCCGCCCTTTTTCTCTCACATGTTCAACCCCCGCCCCCTCTTTCCCCCCTACCCCTCTCCCCTCCCCCGTCCCTTCTTCCCGTCCCCCTCTACCCCCCTACCCCCTTCCCACCCATCCCCTCTTCCTTTCCCCACTTCCCCCCCGTTTCCCCCATCCCCGCAGCAATTGGAAGACAGCGAGGGATGCGGGGGCGTATGTGCACCACCCCCCTCCCCCTCCCCCCGCGCCCGCGCCTCCCCCAGTTGCGCCCACACCCGAGCTCATTCCCCCAGCCTCCTCGCGCAAACGGCCAAAAATGGCCGCCCTTTCCGCAGCGCCTTTGGGGAAGGGCGTGGGGGCGGTGGGGGGGGTTGGGGGAGTGGGGGCGGGGGTGGGCGCGCCATTTGCAGTGGCACCTGTTGAGGCTGTTGGGTCAGGGAAGCGAGGGGGGAAGGGGAAGGGCCGACGCGGACGATGGGTGAGTGAGTGAGTGGCTTATGTTAATGGGGAGCATGATAACTGCATTGCCAACGTCAATATGCTCCCACAGGACTTACATCCACCCATCTCCCCACTGTGGGTGCACAGTACGTCAACTGCATGATATCCATCTCCCCACTCTTTCCCATCTTCCGCTCCCCTTTTTCCCCCAAACCGTCTTCCCCTTCCCCTGCTGCCCGCCTCCTTCCCGCCCCCCCCCTTCCATCCCTCTCCCTTCTCGTTCCGTCACTCTTCCTTCCCCCACCGCCATCCCCTCATCCTTCATCACCCTTCCTCCCCTTTCCCCCCCGTCGTTTCCCATGGACTCCCCCTTCCTCCTCCGCCCCTTCAGTCCGCGGGTGCGCCAGGGGGAGCAGGGCGGGGGCAGGGGCGGGAGGAGTGGCGGGGGCAGCAGCACCAGGGGCACTGGGGGGGATAGCCATAGACCCGCTTATAGGGCGGCGGGTGAAGACGCGGTGGGTGGAGGAGGGAGGCGGGTCGCGGTCCCTATGAGGCGGTGATTTACCCTAGTTCCACACCCATCACTCCTCCCCCCTTCCCCCCTCTCCTCCCCCCCTCCCAATCACTCCCCTTTTCCCTTCCGCCCCTTCAGTCCTCGGGTGCACCTGGTGGAGCAGGGCGGGGGGCAGGGGCGGGAGGAGTGGCGGGGGCAGCAGCACCAGGGGCACTGGGGGGGATAGCCATAGACCCGCTGATAGGGCGGCGGGTGAAGACGCGGTGGGTGGAGGAGGGAGGCGGGTCGCGCTTCTATGAGGCGGTGATTTACCCTAGTTCCACCCCCATCACTCCTCCCCCCTTCCCCCCTCTCCTCCCCCCCACTCCATCACCCCTCCTTCCCTCCATCTGCTCCCTTCTCCCCCCCCCCCCCCCCTCCCCATCACTCCTCTTTTCCCTTCCGCCCTTTCAGTCCTCGGGTGCACCTGGTGGGGCAGGGCGGGGCGCGGGAGGAGTGGCGGGGGCAGCAGCACCAGGGGCACTGGGGGGGATAGCCATAGACCCGCTTATAGGGCGGCGGGTGAAGACGCGGTGGGTGGAGGAGGGAGGCGGGTCGCGCTTCTATGAGGCGGTGATCACAGACGTGAGGCCGGAGGATGGCATGTATTCGCTGGTCTATGAACTCAACACACCGAATGAGAGCTTCGAATGGGTCGACCTCAATATGGTGAGAAGTGCGGGGGTTATGGGCTGGGCTGGGGTGGGTGAGAACTGCTGTAGTGCTGGCTGTGGGGAGGGGGTTCGCGGTTCTATCAGGCGGTGATAACAGACGTGAGGCCAGAGGATGGAATGTACTCGCTGGTGTATGAGCTGAACACGGATAATGAGAGCTTCGAATGGGTCGACCTTAATATGGTGGGTTGAGTTCGGTTACTTGGGGTTCGGTCCTCTCTCTCACCGTCTCCCTTCCCCCTTCTCTCCCCGTCCCCCAGATTCCAAAAGAAGACAGCATATGGGTGGATGCCCCTCCCCTGCTCGACTTCATCCGCCCACCCGCCCTCCCCCTACCGGCCACTGCTGCTGCTGCTGCCTCATCTTCTCTCGCCCTCCCTTCTCCTCTCACTCACTCCCCCCCAGATTCCAAAAGAAGACATCATATGGGTGGATGCCCCTCCCGTGCTCGACTTCATCCGCCCACCCGCCCTCCCCCTACCGGCCACCGCTGCTGCTACCGCTGCCGCCCCTGCTGCTGCCCCCGCTGCTCTTATGGCTGCTGCGGGAGATAATGACGGCAAGAAGGCAGCAGCTGCAGCAACAGCAGCAGCGGCACGAATGGCCTTGAATGTCCCCCCTGCTGCCGCTGCACCACGCGCACTGGGGAAAACAGGACCCGCTGCTGCCGCTGCCGTCGGCACTGCAGGAGGGCTGGCGGGGGTGGGAGCAGGGGGAGGGGTTGGCGCAAGCTATTATGGGAATGTTGCAGGGGTGACGACAGGAGGGGGGCCTGGGAGAGGGGGGAAGGGGAGGGAGGAGAGGGGGTGGCGGGGTGGTTAAGGCGGGTGGCCAGCCTGCCACCCCTTGTGGACATTCTCAAGGTGAGCGTTTTGAGCCTTGAAGGTAATGGTTTGAGCCCGGAAGAAGGTTGTTTGCAGTTTTAGTTGTTGTCATTTCTTCTTCTTCTTCTT